ATCAACAGGGAGTAAAACTGGGAGTCGACTGGGAATGAAAATGAAGATGAAACAAGGCGTGATAAGAAAGAGCTTCTTCATCTTTTTGTTGCTTGTCTCATCGTTTTTAGGGTTATTTTACTGTTGATGAAGGAGGATGAGAGAAGGCGAAAGAAACAAAAAGATGATGAAAAATGGTGAGCACTTTTTTTGCTTGTGCTTATCGCACTGTTAACAGCCTGTTGTTGATGCTCAGTTATTGCAACTTATTGCTGATACAAATGCTAATAGTGATAATAATAGTGATAGTAATGATGATGATAATAATTCATAAACAGATAGGAAACATTTTTACACCATAATAATATTGCTTTATACCTGACAGTTCATTGTAAGACATAAATGGACACGAAACATTATGTCCAATTGTTAACAGCATTTGTTAATAATTGTTTTCCTGAAAACTTTCATCACATTCAATGTTTAACCATTATCAATGGTTAAATGGTGAAATTAATTTTCCATTTTCTTTTCCTTTTTTTCAGGCAAATGAGATAATTTTTCAGGACTTCAGTTTATTTGGTCAAACAATTTTACACTTTCATTTTGATTGAAGTTAATTAATGGATAAAAATGGTTCTTAATGTTTTTGTTTTTTTCTGGTTTCTCTTTTTGCCTCTTTACTGTATTGAATTACATTTGATGAATTAAAATGGGTGAAGAAAGGTTGACTAAATTAGCATTTCAATTGTAATAATTGTAACTGCTATCAAATGTCGGACAAGTTTCAATTCAGTTTGATTGATTTTCAGGAAAAGTTTCACATTACTTGTCACCAATCATCATAGTTTAGCTTATTTTTGCTGGTTTCTCGTTGTTGTTGTTGCTGTTGATCATTATAAACCATTATCAGGTTGATCAGCTTGAAAGCATTTTTGTTTTGTCACAAACTACAGATTGGTTAATGGAGAAAAAGAAATGAAAATCAAGATGAAAATGATGGAAAATAAGGTGAACTTTGATTGAATTCTGGTTCGATAAGTAACTGAACATTTATCCTCAGGCTTATCCATCCTTAACTGAGCATTAGTTTTGCTGTGAAACATCAACAAAGATCAAGTTGAAAGACTATTGATAATGTAAGGTAAGAAAGGTGCGTTTATCATGAAGAAAAAAACTGAATCTTAGTTTTCCCTTCTTCTTGTTCACTCTTCTTGTTCAATATAAATTGTGTTATAATGTAGTAACAACACTTGTAAAGCCAATGCAATAACCAAACAAATAAACAATTTCATTGACAGAATCACCAAAATAATGGATCAACCAGAGAAGAGGAGAAACATTGATGAACATAAACAAGTTATCAAAATTGATTCAAGATATTGCTTTATATTAGACCTTTTTTTCATCCATTTTATGCATTTTATCCAGTTTATGAGTTACTTTTTGGGTTCATATTTTTTTAGGTTGTCAGTCTGATAATATCACAACTATCTGTTTATTTTCAACCATTTTAAATGATTCGAAATGCTGATAAATTTCATGGAATGAATGGAAAAAATTCAATTTAAAAAACAAAAAACTTGATTAAAATGTTTTGCTAACTTGAAATGGGTTCATTTTCAAAGCCAAAGGTTCAATATTTACATTTAATTTTACAATTTGCTAAAATGGTTTAATCATTTGTTGATTAGCTATTAATTTCCCATTCATCATTAGTTTCAATTGATTATGATTAATTGTCGGTTTGAGGGAAAAATAAATTGCTAAATGAGAAGCAAAACGAGAAGCAACCAATGAACCAGAAATGAACCAGAAATTTAGTCGAAAGTCTTGAAGCTTAAAATTATCTAAAAAATTGATTTTTTAACCATTTTTTTCCAATGTTAATCATGACCTTTGATTGGCAATTTAAATGAGCAACAATTAAATGATATATCAACACTTGAAGGTTGATCAGTTTTAATTAAATTTCCTGCCTTCAATTAATGGTTGAAATTGTTTCCTGTTAAGGATTGTTAACAATTGAATGTAAATTTTGATTCCATTACCAATTGGAATGAAATGAAAATGATTGCAATTTTCAAGCTTAAACATGATCATGATCATGACAATAATCAATTTTGGTTTTTCAGCTTCACAACTTTACAATATGAAAAGCTAAACGTTATTAAACTGATAATCGCCTTTGAATTTCCTTTATTTAATATTTATATAAATAGATATAAATGTTTCACATCGGAAATGAGTTTGAAAATGATGATCATCACAGACAATAATCTAGATTAATAGATAAATATATGTTTATATTTATATGTTATTACCATCAACAGTTGACCTTATTTATGGGTTCATTGATAATATATATATTTTTGATAAATTTTGTCTCATCATCATCATTATAATCATCATTAGTGGCAACAACAATCCATTTTTGCCATAACCTAAGGCTAACAAATGCTAAATATCTAATAATAATGTTAACCTAATGATAAATGTTTAAAATCAGTTATAGATGGACCTAAATGATGATAATATCAGGTCTAAACATTGATCTTGCTTTTTGTCTCATCGTTTCACCGATGCTACAATTTTTCACCATTTTTCTTTGTTCGCTCCCAAGCTAAACAATTCAAATGGTTTACTCAAATTAGATTGAAACAATGGTTGAGGGTAAAAATGTTATGGATTTTGCCATCAATGACTGAGTGATCAAGTTGATGGGTGAAAACAGGTTAACTTTAGGTTTTCAATGTAAATGTGTATTGAAAGTATTTTCATGATGATGATTGTGTATTAGAAAGGATGATCAGGGTGATGAACGGCAAGAAATAATGTAATGCTAATACCATTGGGAAATAACCATTTCACCCTTGTAACCTGAATATGTATAGTTTTCATGGCAATCTTTCAATGTCAACTTTACCCAGTTTTACCGTCTTTGCCATCCTTTTAGTTTTTTATCGACATTTATCATCATCAGTTTTTTATGTGTTCATTGAAAGCTCATCTTTTTTTCACCCAAAGTTGATTAGCTAATTTGGGTTGAAACATGAATGAAGGGAAAAAAAGCCAACAACTAACCCTTAATCTCATTACTTTCTTAAGCTGATCCTTCATCATCTTCTAGCTTTACACCTCATCTTTGTTTTTCCTCATCTTTCTCTCTCTCTCTTTTATCTTCCTCTTTTTAACAAGATTGACAATTCACTTGTTAAATGACTATTTGAGCATCAATTTAGATGCTATTTAGCAAACCAAGAAGCAAATAAAGCTAATTAGACTATCACTTCTTAACAATTGTAATAATAATGGGTGACATTGTCTTCAAATACAAAGCGTACATGTTTACCAATACAAATTACATGTAAAAGCTAATGGATAAAATTGATTTATCATTTCTATTTTGGTTGTACAATCTAATCAGTTTAAATCATCATTAAATCCAGTTATAATGAGGATTGATTCATTATTAATAATGCTTGTTTTATTGTTCACTTCTTTGCGCCTTTAAATGTAGATTTTTGTCTTGATTATTTGTTTCATCGTATTATAATTCAATTTTGGTAACTACAAAGTGGCATCTTAAGGTTTGCTTGGTTTGCTTTGGCTTTGGCTTTGTTTTTTCGGTGTTTTTTGGCCTTTATCCTTGTATTGAGTGTGTATTTTATATCCAATCTCATATTGTTGTGAAAATGAACTTGGTGTTGATTGGTAAATTGATTTTAGCATTATTATTGGCAAGGTTAAATCCCAAGGAAAGTGTAAGATGTGAGCTTAACTAAGAAATAATATAATGATGATGTAATGTAAGATGAATTACAACAATATAAAAGAGGAGAAGAGACGATGATGACGATGATGATGGTGATGTGTATGATGGCAATGGTGATGGTGATAGTGATGAGGAAAGTGATTCTTAAATAGTATCAATAGTATACACATAAGCAGTTTAGACTTTAGTTTTTCCTTTTGTTACATTGAGTGTAATCATGAATTGTCACATTTCCTTTGAGCTTCAATAATCCTACAGATTTCTTAAAGGATTCTGGTTTTAGATGGATAAGGTATATATTCAAGTATTCAACCTTTTCCCTCTTTGTGTGACTAACATTGGAATCATGTTTGCTTTTTCTTCTTCCTTTCTCATGTTGTTGTTGCTCTTCACCAAAATTTCTTTTGAATTGATTGAGGAAAGAAACAAGAATAAGATGGTGAAAGAAGGAAACAAAAGACTAACATCGCACACAACATACATATATATAAGCATCATCAGTATTATCATCATTATCATCATTTCTGGACGATCATTTCTCATCGTGGACAAAAATCGATCCGAGTAAACAGACTTTTATTCCTTCTTTTGCTCTTCCTTTTCATCTCTCTATTTGTTTAATATAACTGGGACAGGCGATTCTCCAATGTGAAAGAGTAAGTGAATGATTGGATAAGTATGTGTATGTTGCTTGTGTGTGCAATGATGATAGTGTGAGAGAAATGAGGCAAAGAATGATTCCACTGATGATGATGATGTTTTTGTTGTTGTTGTTGTTGATGATGATGATGATGTGAGGAATGATTGAAGAGAATGTTGATAGAAAAAAGTTGAGTGAAAAGAAAGGAGAAAAAAATTTGTCCAAAATCTCATTGAAAAATGAAGGATAAAATATTTTCCAGTTTTTCATCTCTTTTTGTGCCTTTTCATCTCGATCCTTTCTTTGATTTCAATCTTATTCAGTATATTACAAAAATCAATCCAAATTATTCTTTCTCTTGCATGAAGGGATAAACCTTTGCCATCTTTACAGAACATCATCCTTCATTTTGTGTCCTTGTCCTCTTTTAATCTGCTATCATTTCCTTTTCCTTCTCCTCCCTTTTTTTGAAATTATGATGCTTTAATAGTTTGTTCACCTTAACCATTCCCGTCAGCTTCGATTCCCTTTATCGTTTGTCACTTTAATTAAAGCTTTAACCACTGTTGAAATATGGTTTTACATGGATGCAAAGTGATTTTTTTCCAGTCACCAAAGTGAACACACAAGTGGAAACTGTGTTAATAGTAGATGTAGCTGTTGTTGATGATGTTGCTGTTAATAGATTAAAAAATATATATATTAGCATAAGGGTAAAGAGATTGGAGCAAAATTTGTCATGTTTAACCATACATACACAATTGTGTCCATTAGTTTTGTTCATTGTTTGTTTGTTGATTGATTACAATTAAAACCAGGGGAGACTTGAGTTGTGCATCAGCAATATAAATTACTTTCATGTAACCATTTTGTTAGCTTGTAATCTTTCATCACCATGAATCGGCACAAAAAAATGGATTTAACCCTTTTGCATCTCTTCACAGTAAACAGCAGTCATCATGTTTCTGTCTTGTTCCAACTTGTATTCTTATAACATGGATACTGACACATGCAATTCCTGTCAACAAGCTTGTCTTTCAATATCTCGGTCTGTTGATTTTTCCAGTAAAATTTATCGAAATGCAATCCTGTTTGAACGAAAAAAAATGAAAATGTCAAAAGGTAAATGCAAAATAAGGTTAAGTTAATGAAATACACAAAATTTTCTGTTTCAAGCGTATTCAAATATTCGCTCTACTTGTTACAAAAATTTAACGCTGTACTTACACATGTTGCTGACTGAGCTTTTGTCTTTGTTTCTCAGAAGTTTATTGCCATTTTTATTAACCTAATTGATGAATGATTATCATTAAAAATATAATTGAATAATAATTAGAAAACACTGATTTATGAAGGTTTAACAAATGCTACAAAGTAAACTCACCATGAGATGTTGAGCTAACTTTCAACCACAAATATTACTGTTTTCACTGGAATTAATGATGTTGATAAATCTATTTAATAATTTCATGATTAAATTCACATCGTTTCTTTACACACATACACAATGTTATTTATTTACCGAAGTAGAGTTTAGATGGAGATGTTTTTTTTGAAGTGAGAAGATGAAAGTGTTAATTGTAATTTGTGAGCAAGCAAATGTTGAGTTTCTTTAGCAAACATTGTCCAACTAAAATAAACAGAACACAAAAGGATCCAATTGATGAACAATTGCAGATTAACCAAGTGTAAAGTTGATTAAAGGATTACCTTAAATAGCTTGTGAATTAATACTCTTCAAGGGTTTGATAAAATTTCATCAGATTCATGGTAAATCACAAGTTTGTTTGATTTTCAATTACCACGAAGCCAATGGTAACACATTAACATGAAGAGATTCAATGAAAGCTTGTTGATTGAGTCAAGTGACATAATTTAAATATAATCTTCAATTGAAAGGTGTCGACTGTAAGCGTAAAATTAATAAAATTCAGGTCAACTAATATTTAAAACAATTATTACAAATTTAGATAGTTCATTACAGTTAACTTACAATGCAAAAGATATCAGAAGATGGGCGCTCAAAGCATTGTTTTGATTTTTGCTTTGATTGAGGGGTGATTGCCAAATTAAAACTTGCTTCCATTGCTTTATTTTTATTTTTATTTTCAAAATTGACTTGATTACTTAAATTGTGACCATCGAAATCATGTGTTAGATGAAATGTGTGCTCTAATAATTGGGGAAAATATTTACTCGATGATCATCAATGAAAATGATGATCCTCACTGTTTTTAATGGAAGGCATTTTTTATCTGGTTTATTATTGAATCGGGCTTTAACAATTTATCTGGAAGGAATCTGATATGAGGTATGTAATTTGACATTTCAGAGCAATTTGTTCATTAGATTTCTGTTAAAATGATAAATTGAAGAGCCAATATTAAACAACTTGGATCCTCCCGCGGGCTTACAAAATGTATAATGAACATTAATATGTCAGGTAAGAAAGATTGTATCTAAAATGTATTTCCAACGTTATTTGATATGAAGTGATTATCAATTCATTGAATGGATTAATTTCCAGATCAATCATTTTCTCATAATGATTTACCCCACAACAAATACAATTATCAAGTCGCTTGTTGACTGACAGGGTAAGTGTTTTTGTGGCCACCAGCAGAGGTAAACAAATTGGAATAATTCACCGGTTTGATTAAAACATTCAATTCTCCATGATATTTACAGCAAGAATATTTTATATTTACAGAAGGAACATGATTCTCATTTCAAAGTTATTCCGCAAAGTAAAGTACATTTTAATTTATTGTATCAAATTAATGAGTAAAGTAAGGAAGGATGAAATATATTAATAACAGAGAAACACATTTATCGTGAATTTAGAATGAAAAAAATGAATAAAATACAAAAAGCAAGCTAAATAAGAGGAATAAATTTAGGTAAAATTGCTTGGTAAAACATTGAGGAAGAACAGGTTGCCATGAAAAAACAAATCTTGCCAATAATCAGACCTTTTTTTTGTTATGTGCCAAGCTAATTCTAACAATCGATTGGATTCACAACAGTTTGTCATCCTAAATTGAGAGTCTTTCTGCATTTATGTGTTCGTTGTTTAAAGGTCAATTAACATCCCAGGTAACTGAGCAATTGGAGGAAAGAAAAAGGTAAAAGATAAGAAGGAGAAAGCAGGAGTAGAGAAGATGAGAATAATGAAGGATGAAAATTAAGGAGATTCTGGAAAAGAGGAAAGTGATGTTAGAAGATTGAAAAGGAAAATATAACAGGATAAGGTTGATGTTGATGGAGTCTGGAGGATTCCAAGATATATCAGGCACAAAAACTTTCACAATCCTATCGATCGAGGTGAAAAAAATGCCATATATTTTTGGAAAGGCATGTGCATAGGAATTGCCTTTTGCTCATGTTGAATAAATTAGTTTGACTTGAACCATTTAACTGCGTGAGTTGAGGGAAACAAAAGGTGAAGAAAAAGCGAAGAGGAAGGGAAAGATGAGGATGAGGATCAGAGTGGTTCTGATGAGGAATGGATGATAATCCTATCATCACAACCACTCTCATCCGAACGAGAAGAATAACATTGTTTAACACATAAAACAAAGGAATAACTTGAATTGAGTTTTGGGATTTAACCTCTCTTAAGGTTAAAAACTCTGGTTATTCCAGTTTTTCCCAACAGTTATTTCAGCTTTGGTCATCATCATGGTTTGCCTTTAAACCAATCCATTTTTGGGTTCCTTTGTCTTCAACTACGTTTTTGCTGATTGTGATGGTACTGTTTACTTTGTCTCCCCCATTGAAAAACCAGCAACCAGACTCATTTTGTTAGGCCTATTTGGATCAACCATTTGATTGTTGAAAGCACAGTAGCATGAAGTAAAATCATAAGAATCGCAAACAAGTAGAATATTTTGTAGCTTTGTTTACTTCTGTTCCTTTGGTCCTTTTTGTCCCTTGTTGCCTGATCCAAGTAATAATATCGCCATCCCAAGAGTCGGTATCTCTGAGCTGTCAAGCTTAACAAATGTCCGAATTTTCATTCCCTTTTTATTATTTGGGTAAGATGACTAAGATTCATTTTATTCATTATACTAGGGAGAGATATTAACACATAAATAGTTTATAGTATTACCGGTTTACATTGAATTGTTATAAGAAAAAAAAGATGAAAATTGAAAACAATATTACCTTATGGTAGAGTCTACACTGATATCAAAGCTTGCTGTAATAACCATTAACTTCAGAGCCAAGATTGTACTTATCCGTTGTAATCCAGTATATTGATTGAGAATCCAGCCTAGGAGTTAAAAACTTGAAAAAGTTAAAGACTAAATCAGATCAGAGTAAATGATTTAAAACTGAAATAAACTGTAAATTGGTCAAATTTTCGTTCTGCAGACTTATTGTATTGTAACCAATCGAATAGCGTACCTTTTTTGAAGCAACATTCTAATATAAGCTAATCTACATCCTTGAATAACAATTATAAAGGAATTTCGAAAATGAAAAAGACGCAGTCAAGTGCTTTAATTTGTTAATCAAATCTCGATAACCATCACCATTGAACAGTCAATTTTATTGTTTGATTTAACCGTTATTGCCGAAGAGTAGTTACTTTGATTATGCGCATCCTTGCATAATGTCTCCATGGAAACGTATACAACGCAACACATGTTTTCCTTCAACATGGTTTGTTATTTGGTTATTTGATTGGTATTTATAAATTAATTTTGATTGTTTTGTTCAGATTTAAGAATATTTTTGTAAATGTCTATCTTTAACTGTGCTCGTTCTCATCTTAATCTACCTTCTGTAGTTAAATTCAATGTGACTTTATTGAAATCTCTTTATTCATCATCAGTATATGATCTCTCATCATTAAACTCTTCCGTTGTACCTAAAGAGTCAGACTCTTGTAAATTACCTCAACTAACTATTCATGAAGCTCTAAAATGTAAATTGAGTGAAAAACTGTCTTTAAAGGTAAGTGAAGAGTCTCAGAGAATCAATCGTGTATCGATATGAACGATTTCCTCTAATTAGTTGTCATTCTGTCATCCCATCACAATTTAAGGGTTGGATTCGATCTCACAGGCGTCTTAAGGAACATCATTTTATGACATTAAATGACGGTTTGTCACCAAAAAATATTCAAATCGTTGTGCCTACTATACTTCTTGAAAGGTGAGCTGATTACTGTGTTGTCAATTCATTAATTTAACCGGTCTTTTTACATTTTCTAGAAAAGGGGTGAAACCACAGTTTGGCTCATCAATTTGTTGTAAAGGTTCATTGGTCGAAAGTCGAGGACCAGAACAACCTCTGGAGCTTTATTGTGAAGATATTGATATTATTGGTCAATGTAACGTCTTAGAATATCCTTTCAACCCTAACACATCCAAAAATAACAATTGGAATGGAATGCGTGAGCATATCCATCTTCGGCCCAGAGCTTCACGATATGCTTCTTTGATGAGATTGCGTAGCGATTTAAACTTCGAGATCCACAATTTGATGAAAGAGAGTGGTTATTTCAATGTGACTACTCCGATATTGACCAAAAATGAGTGTGAAGGAGGATCGAAACCATTTTCTGTTAAGGTGTTTGACTAATTTTATCCCAAATAACATTTCGGATTTGATTTATCTTTATTACCGCAAAAGAAACTAACAAACAATTTATTTGTGGTTTCAGCCTATCGATTACCCCGATGACGTCAGCTTTTTCAAAGGAAAAGCCAAATTAACTGTATCAGCGCAACTTCATCTTGAGACTGCTGCCTGGTAAATTTCTTGGCCATACTTATTCAGAAACAGTGAATTAATTGTTTTTATTTGATTCCTTTTTCAAGTGCCCTTTCACGCGTTTATACCTTAGGACCAACATTTCGAGCTGAAGTCAATAAATCTCGTCGTCATCTCAGCGAGTTTACTATGTTTGAACTAGAGGAAGCATTTATCGATGATCTTGATGTACTGATGGACAAAGTAGAGTTTATTGTGAAATCACTAGCATCAAAGCTCATTGATGGCCAAAATGAAAATTATTTAGATGTTTTGAAATCAACTAAGTATGATTTAACCTACAGACTGCTAGGACGGTATATTAGGTAACTAAATCTAAGCATTAATATCCGGCGCTTTGCTAAATTTATTGCACATTTAATTATTCCTTGATTAATAATTTGTTTATTTTATTGATTTTAGGTTAACTTACGATGACGCAATAGAGATAATTAACAAAAAACAGGATGTTCAACCTGCTGAATTTGGAAAAGACCTTTCTGCTTTCCATGAGACAGTTTTATTGGAATATTTTGAACATCAACCATTGTTTATAACACATTTCCCTTCTGAAATCAGACCTTTTTACATGAAATCAGATGGAGACAGAGTAAGTTGAACGGTAAATACGTTAGAAATACAAATTCTTATATCTGATCTGATTATAACTTTTTAAAGGCTTTATGTTTCGACCTGCTGGGTGCAGTTGGTGGAGAGATATGTGGAGGTAGTTTGAGGGAAGATAATTATGACAAATTAAAATCTCGAATGGACGAGGTCGAAGGATTGACTGAAGAATTAGACTGGTAATTATAAAAATCTTTTAGAATCTCCTTTTAATACTCAATCTTTTATGTCTAAATTGTTGATTTTTTAATAATTTTCTTCCAGGTACCTTGATCTTCGAAAATATGGTAATGTTCCACACGGAGGATGTGGTTTTGGATTCGACAGACTGATCCAAACAATAACAGGACTATCCAACATAAAAGATGTGGTTCCATATCCAAGATTTTTATACCATTGCCCATTATAAATGGCTATAATTATTAACAAATTAAATTTATCATTAGCACTCACTACATGAGTACATCATTGTTGCACTCAGCAATTCTTTGCGATATCAATCTTTCTCAATCTGTAAGGACTGTCAAACCTTCAAAGCATGTTTCCTAGGAATTAATCTGACAAATATTAATTCAAATGACTGCTTGTGAATAATTTCTGAGACTCGCAAACTTGTTAAAAGATATTGTATAAGTCTTTCATTTTTGTGGTTGATGTTACAATCGCAGAGGGATGTCGCTATAGAAGTACAACTAATCTAGAGAAGTTCAGGTTGTTAATTAGATTGAAATGAAAGAATAACCAAAATCCTTTTTCATAAAAAGCTTAACCAAAGACAAGCTTTTTTGTTTTATTCCCAATATTCTCATATTCCAGATTATCTTTTGCCCTGAGTAACATGATATCGACAGAGAGAAGACATTTTTTGTTTTTATCCTCTTCTTTTCAACACTAGCTATTAATCTTCTCCCTTTTGCGGTCAAGCCTCTGATTCTTATATCATTTAAGGACAAGTTACTTTCTTGATCAAAATAATTTTTTCTTCCTTGGCAACTGATACCAGTAATCTGATTACTAGTGTTTATTTTTCCTTTTCTTGAGGAGAAAGCAGAAAAACGATTAACAGTTAAATTCTGTATTGAAGCAGATCGATCTAATTAGTGTTAGAATTGAGTATTTTATCGTGGTCATCTTAATTCGATGCCTTACCAGTAGACTTTTTTACACCATTGATAAATATCATTTAGATCCTTGGCAATACATTCTTCTAACCCTAATGTACTCCAATATTTACCAAGACTGTACAGTTTTTTCTCAGTTCATTCATATCATTAAATTTTGTCCTTAATTTTTCATTTATTATCATCATTTATCATGATAAATTATTATCACCCTATAATTATCTCACTACAAATCATTAGCTTTCATCATCATTCTTCCACTGAATCTCTTCGACTATAAATATGTAATTATTGTCTCATCATCAGCACCAATTGATTCTCCCATTTTACACCATCAGACCATTCTTCATCTTATCTTTTCTATTTGTCTTTTTACTGTCGACATTATTGTTTTCATCTTGTAGACGCAAAACAATAAGGTACTATTACCCATAATTCATTGTGTCAGTTTCAATGCATTTCTTAATCAGTCGACTGCAGTGTACTTTGATCAAAGATTGATCAGAAAGGATTACAATTGAAGATCGACTATGGCTATTGTTATTACAATTTTGGTTCCAGTTTTTCTGGTTAATCCTTGTCATGTCCAAGTTCCAGTTTTTCCAGAATACACTTGATTATGTCTTGCTCGTAGAGCTTCCATCTTCATCTTGATTCTTCTGTCTCTTCATTTTTTTCACTACACAGTCTCATTTATCTTTTTATTTGTCTGATATCATTTATTCATTAAAAGTTTATTAGTAACTAGAAAAGCTCATTTAAATCTAGTGCAATTCATTTAATCATGTAGTTTAATCAACCAAATAACATAGAGCCAAACTAGAGCTGATTCTCGACAGGATAGTCTAACCTGTGAACACTCTCAGCTTGCACCTTGCTTTCTCTCATATGCTTCAAGCTTCTGTTGCTACAAACAAAAACATCTAATATTTCTAGTCTGATTAATCTTGATGGTTTCATTATTTGTGAATAATCATTTGTTACAATTATCACTTTATTATAACCTTTTTTATAATTATGATCTCACATAGTGATATATGAAATTTAATTGGTTTTTTACTGTTTTTTTCATATCTACCTTCTTTATCTGCTCATCTTATATCAACACTTTTTGCTCATTGATTAACAACTCTCAACAAATCTTTGTCCTCCGTTGGTATATTCAATCAAGTACCTAACACAATTAACACATTATTAATCCTTCATAAATATTTAAAACAACATGTAAGGTAAGTGATTAAATTTCTAAATCTACATATGTGACCAGTTCAGATTGTTTTTCTTACCATGTGTTGCTATCTTTCTCTTTCTCTTTTTTCTTTTCATGCTACATCGATCTTATCGTAGTTAAATTGTATTTATTCACAGTTGGAGAGCGAAATTAATCAGACCAATCATTCATTTCAATACCGTCCTGGTGATTACAAACTTTTGCCAACAATGAGACCTGACTATGTGAGAATATGGCGAACCATTTTTTTTGGCCAATTCCTATCTTTGCTGCTTTGTGGAACAGGAATAGCTAGTCAGTTGCTTGATCGCAATTACAGCTTAAAAACTCCAACTGCTCAAAGTTTCCTCAACTATGTGATACTTTGCTTAATTTTCACCACCTGGCTGGCTTTTAAACCTGGTGACAGCAATTTGTTCACCGTGATGCGACTGAGAGGATGGAAATATTTTATTCTTGCTGCCATGGATGTTGAAGCAAATTTTCTCGTCGTCAAAGCTTATCAATATACAACACTTACCAGCATACAATTATTGGATTGTTTTACTATTCCAACGGTTTTGCTACTTTCTTGGCTTTGGATTAAAGTGCAGTACGGAATTGTTCACATTCTCGGAGTTTGTCTCTCTCTTATTGGTATCGGTTGTTTAATTTACTCTGATCTGGATGAAAGTACAAAAGGCCAAGAAGCTAAAAATCGCTTTCTTGGTGATATGCTGTGCATAATGGGTGCCACTCTCTATGGTATATCCAATGTTACTCAAGAATATGTAGTGAAAAGCTACAGTATAGTCGAATTTCTTGGAATGATTGGACTTTTTGGTAGCATCATTGGCGGTGTTCAGTTAGCCATCTTTGAACTGAAAGAAGTCAAAGCTTTGTTCCATTTAGATAAATATATTCAAATTTCTCTGATTCTAAGTTATGCTGCTTGTTTACTTCTCTTCTACATCACCATGCCTCTTGTCCTTCAAGTTAGCAATGCAACTTCAGTCAATATTTCCATGCTTTCGGCTGATTTCTACTCTCTCCTAATCGGACTCTACTTATTCGACTACAAGTTTAATTGGCTTTATTTCATTTCGTTTGCTCTCATCATAATGGGAGTCACAACTTTCAATTTAATCCCTGCTCCATCCAAAATTGACCCCGTTCCAAATTTAAACAACACTGAAGTCAACTCAAGAACAGCATTGTCTCCGGCAAAAGGAGGTGGTAGCAGTTCAAAATATGGAGATGACACCGTGGATGCATCTACAGATAAACCAATGGGCTTTCATCGACTCGATCCAACAAGCATCTCAATGACCAGCGGCCAAATTGATAATAGAACCGATGTTATATTACCTAACGTCCTAGAATTCGCCCAAAATCCTTCCCAATCAATTTACAGCGCATTTCCTCCCCACCATTTACCACATTCATCTTCAGCTTCTCATTTACCTTATAATCAACAAGTTTTCCAAGCCGAAAGTGACCTTATCGCTTCAACTACTGAAAAACACGATCAATTTAGATTTGAAGGATCCGGCATAAGTTATGGGTATCATCAGCACCAGCAACAACTACAGCGACAGCAACAGCAACAACAACAAGATCACAATAACTATCATGGGACACTTCCTCAACGCATATGGGAAGACCAATGTTAATATTTATCTCTATTAAGGAAAATTATTTGATATTATTTAAAAGAATCAAATAATCATTTTTTCAAGAAATTTACACAATCCCTTGATAAGAAATCAGACAATTCACCTAGTCAGAATATCTTCAAAATCATGTATTGTATTCATCTAAATTGTCCAGACCATTTCATTATCAACTTGCATAAGAATATTCTTGGCTAATTGAAAAATCTAGATTTCTTAATATCATGACCACTTACGTGTATAATGTTCATATAAGATGAAAATCTCGTGATTTAATGCCAAACACAAATACCTTACAGAAATGGTATTAATCCCGTTTAAATAATATGTCTGTCAGTTTCATCTCACAATTAAGCTCATCAAAGGTCGAGCTCTGTTTCTTTTGTACGTTAAAATTTTGTGAGATTTAAAGTTCACAATTTAATTTTGTTAAATTTTTTTCAAATGTTCACATTGTAATTTGCTCTTTTCAATTATTTAAATAAACAAGATACAACATAAGAAAACAAAACATGAACATTGATTAATTATTCAAGCAATCTACCTTACTTTTTGAATTGTTTTAAATTTGAGTTGTTAGGGTGACAAAGTTGGATACGAATCAAAGAGTAAAGAAGTACTTCTTTACTCTTTGATACAAATTGTTGTTTACCTTTACTGATATCGAGACTTTAAGATCATTAAATTAGTGAGTGGATCCCTATTCAATTTAACAGTCTGTTAACATCAATTTTTGATTAAAGGACATTTTACTAAAAGTCTTCAATCAGTTTTCTCAATTTTTTACTGTTTAATTTATTGCCTTTGTGATCTTTTCCATACTTCTTCGCGAGTTTAATTAATTTACATTGTCTATTTAATTGAATGTGTTAATCTTGGCCAATTTCATCAAAGATTTGGATTTCTAACAATCAGTACAATTCATTGGAATTCTGTTTTTGAATTCCCCTCCTAAACTAGTCATGGGAAGTAACCAACCAGAGTAACTAAGACTGGTTACTTTTCCTTCTCTTGAAGCCAAGTAACCGGTTACCACCAAAAAATGCACCTTTTATAATTTACCGCTCAAGTTTTATTATTGTTTTGATTTTGACTTTGTTTTCTGTTCTGTTTTTTTGTTTGCAGCATCTAAAAATGGTTTGTTTTCGTCAACATGACGATCGTCATGTTTCTCACAAAATTAAATTAATGAGATGGAACACCTTGATGGATTTAATTGCCATTGGTATGAAAAATGGTGATGTATCAATCCATAGATTGGTTAACTGGCAGAAAATTTGGGTCCTGACATGGCCTAATGGTACATCACCTTCAACTGAAAACAATGATAATAGTGGTAAGTCGAGTGAAGAAGGTAGTTCATCGAGACTCGATATTACCGCCATGGAGTGGAGACCTGACGGTAAGGTTTTAGCCGTCGCTTATAATCGAAATGTTAAAAAGTTGGAATCCAAGGAAGAAATGGACAGTGAAAAAGACTCATCAATTGCTTTGGTTGATATTGAAAATGGAGAAGTTATCACTACTATAACTTGTCCGAGTTGTTTGATCACCTGTATGAGCTGGCAATTTAAAAGTAACTTTTATCTCAACGACCGGTATAAGGTAACAGCTTTTACAGAATTTTTGGAAAAATTGTCACCTTTAACTAAATCTTATTCTAACAATTATTCACGAAAGTTGACTGAAGATGGAATCGATGATGTAATGAAAGTTTGCAGTCAACCGAATTTCAATATTCTGGCTATTGGTACATCTACGGGTTTTGTTTTTACTTACATTTTTGGAGTTTTACTTGTTGGTGTTTACGAATTGAAAGATAGACCTAGAGTAGAGCATGTTTCGTTTACATCAGATTTGTGTACAATGTCGGTGCTTACTGGGACTACCAATCCGGAATCTTCAACTAATAGTGATAACTTCCAATATCAATCATTTTTCTTACCAACTTTTGGAAGAAACTCTGAACAATATTTCATTGTTTCTCACATTTATGCCAAAACATTTTCTCTCTTATCCTATTTGGAGGATATTATTGGATCTATTCAAGAAACAATGGAAGATATATTATTAGAACTTGACTCTAAATTAACCAGCTATCTGCAACCTAAAGGACCAAAAAATAGCAATGGATCAGTTTTATTAGCAGACGAGTTATTAGAGCTTCTGGTTGTTGGAACTTTTTCAGACTCTTTAGAAAAGTTTCTTCACCAATTAACGGACAAAGGATTGCGAAAGTTGGGTCGATCAATAGAGACTACATATTTAACCATTCAAAGATATGTTGTTTGTAATGTCCAGCGCTGTTGTAAACATATATTTTCACATTTGAATGTCCTTAGAGCCATTTCTTTGTGGAAAAATGAATTCGACCAAATTGGTCTCAAAACACAAGATATCAATAGAGCGATTCACGGAGTAGCAACTTTCTACCTTAAATCTCTTGAGTTACAGCAAGTTATTGATTCATCCTGTCAAAATCTGGTATGTTTCTTTCGTTGGCTTCTCTCGGTCACTGTTAGATTTTACAATGACTCAATGCCTTCGTCCCAACAAGACTCTATCAAGATATCACCACAAGATCTCCAGTATGTTGCCGATTTCATAGAAGAAAACTTTGACTGTCAAGATAATCATCAAGATGATAGCATGTCAGATGCTTCCGTAAATCGACCAACTGCAACCAATTTCACATTAGAAAGAGTCTGTCAATATCTTAAACCTGAACCTTTGGTGTATCGTACTTTTGCCATTAATGATCAATCACTCAATCCATGGTTTAAATATCTCAAGGAACGTCCAATGCTTGTAAATGAGGATAATGAAGGCGGTCTAATTTTGTACAAACATAATGTTGAAAGTTCTTTAATCACTGAACATCGGATGTTGGTTACAAAAGCACGCGATGCATTTAAAGCTCCGAAAGACGCTTTGTCCGATTTTTTTGAAAAGTCTTACGACTCAAACCTTAAATTTACTCTTAGTTTATATGCTAAAGAAACACCTAAAGTTACTCATGCCTCAGATGAAATTTCTGGATTCTCATATATTGCAATTGCTGGAGACTTGGAAGTGGAAAGTGAAATCTGTATTCTTAAAATTCTCACCGCTAACCCTTCAATCGTTCATTTTGTTTTATTCACGGTGGTTGTTGTTGAAAATGGTGCTGAATTGGAAACCAATCCCATAGACATCCAATTTTACACAGAATCAATTCTATCTATGCTTTTAGTTACCAAAGATTCCCAATACTCGTATCTACTTCAACTACCTTTGGCCAGTATTGAAAACAATTTTTTACTTATCGCATCTGGAGCTAGTTTACAAAATTTGCGAGTCAATTTGCCCATTTTACGAGTGACCATCGATTCAACCAGTGAGATAGCAATTCGTCGCCTGGACAACTTTAAACCTTCCCAGTTTGCAGTAAGCGGTTCCCGAAAAGTCTGCTGCATTTCATCAAGAGCCAAACGGCGAGTTCGAGTTTTTGAAATGGATGGAAACGAAGAAGAAGCAGAAGAAGAAAGTGAAATATTTGAATAAAGTGTTGAATTTTTCCAATTTAAATATTTAAAGTAAATTTGTTTCATCCAATTCATGAAACAGTTTAGACAATTTGTGATTTTTTATGTTTTTTATATATTACATTGATGCATTCATTGTAAAACGAAGACTGTAATATTTTTGTAAAATCATACAAATGCGCTAACTAACCATCACTGATTGAATAAATCAAATTCAAATTGTTCATCTTCATCCATTATCTTCTAAAGTTCTCATCTCAAAAATAGACAATAAAATTGTTAACACATTAACATTGTTAAGCATTAACCTGTATTTTTCGATCAAAATTTGCCCTCAAGAAAACCGGATCACTAAGACCATCCTACTTTACCTTCACTGTTAAACCTAGTCTAAATTAACCTCTAAGAAGTACTTCTCAACTCAATTATTATTTCAACTTTTCTTTTCTTCAACTGCATTCTCTCTCTCACTTTCCCTTCACTCATCGTCTGGTCCTTTCTTTGCCGAAATTGACCGCGCCAATAGCATTACCTCTTAAAGTCTGTTCTTCAATATTTACTTCTACAAATGAATGATGACCTTTATCATTAGTTTTTACCTCTACTCTTTTGATCTTACATAAGTTCAAGTTTTCAATTCTGATTTGTTTTTAATCTGTCTTATTGAACTGACCATTATCCAGCCATTTGTGGACTATAGTTATAAGTGTTAAACTAAAATATTTACATGTCTTGTGATGTAATTTTTTTGAATACAATCAACTCTACCAATCATGAAGGGCCATTGTTTCCATTGGATTACTAAATTTTCGCTACTTTTCATCCAAATTAATTGTTTCCTTCTAGTCTGGACTAATTTAGTTGATTCTTACGGTCGTTTACCTATTTTAAATACTCCACCATTGTTTGATTTTCAGCGTGATTGGATTATTGTTGAAACTGAACGACCTGGAAACAGAGTGACAATTGTAAGAGTAAATGATAATGAAAATGACTCGATCACTTTTTCAATAAGTCCAGGATTATATCGAGATGGATCCAAACACTTTGCCATCAACCCAACAAGTGGAGAAGTTACTCTTAAAGAATCATTCATTGGTCTTGTAAGTAAATCAATAATTTCTTGGTTTTGTGAAGTTACCCATTTTATTACAATTAACATTTTTTAACATCTGTAATCCAACAATCCAACCATAATTAAGCAAGAGTAATCATAATTTTCGATCCAATGCATTTTGGCATTGATTACTGAGATAGTTTGTCATCGACAAATTTGGATTAACTATTTTCATACCTGAGCCCTAAGCAAGTGCGACTGTTTTGTTTGTTTGTTATTTTGCGCTCTGTTTATGCAATTTTTCAGTTATGATTTAAAATGTATCAAATGATACCCATTAATCATCATTAAAAGCTCTATTTCTGATCCACAGGTAGATTATGTCTATTGAAATGAAAACACTTTGACCCTCCAACTGTACGCGTCCAACAAAAATGGATTCACATTTCATTTCATTTTATTACAATTGTTAGATCTATTCATGTGACTCAACTGATTATGATCAATCATTATCGTTAACTTTGCCCACCAATTTCACAGAAGCAAACTCTTTAATCTCATCCTATTGAGATCACTTGCTCATCAGTCCTTGAGTCAAATTTAATTCAAGATGTTACTATAAACAGATTTCTAGCCTCTGGTTATGCACTGTGTCATTGAGCGCTATTGAGTGCAATTAGATTTGCTGATGAATTTTTTGAACCTATTCAATGATCGACTTTATACGGAACAACACTCATAATATATTATTTAACAATCATATTGATATGGTTATCATGGTGAAATGTTTATTATTTTTTCAGTTAATAATATCTATGATTTCATTGATAATGTGATAATTGGTAAATTATGGGTCAAATTGAATGATTTTTATTCACACAGTTTATTGACAACTGGATTATGATTGCTATTGTGTAAAGAAGTTTACTTAAAGCGACAATCTAAATCTATTGTTGATGTTTTATCCCGAGCTCTGTTCATGATTCAAGCAACAATGAAGACAACAATTTAGAGAGTGTTTATATCATATTTTGATTCAACAACAAAAGATTTGTTGATGTTTGAGGTAATTTTTGACTGATTGATGTGATTAATTGGCATTTCTTTTTTTCTTCATTACAATAATAGTTGATTATGGTTATGTCAGCTTTTTCAATCTTTTTGACAATAAACATTTTTATCACTCATTAACTATTATTGATCATGGTCATGATGAAAAGCTGATGAATGATCAAGTTAAGCTCACTTTTTTACACCAAAAATGCACAGTTAACTATACTGTTTACCGAACCGTTTGCCATGTTAATCAACATTTTTTTCTGTTAATCTAATGAACAAAATAAATGGTTTCACGGTTGTGGTGCAAGTTTCTGGTGTGTGAGTTATTTATTCATTAATTGAGATGTCAAATATAAGCAAAGAGGTAATATAAAAAGTCCAAGGCGATATCACTTGTTATCAACTGGATTATTGTTGTTACCATGCATTGGATACAACAAGTCAAAGTCGTAACTGAGAAACGCTCGTTTACCTTAACAAAGCCAGACGATCAGCACTTGCAGCATTTACACTCTGGACCAGAGCAATCAATCAGATGAAATATTTGCCGATGATTTCTGGTGTTTTTGGGTTTCACAAAACACGTAAATACAATATAAATTTGCGTTTGAAACTGCAAGGACACTGTGTGACATAATTGACTGAAATTAGTTCACTCGATTTACTAACAAGATATTTGTACAATCACCCTCCAGATTCTGGAGTCCAGAAACTGTACCAATGTGGAAATAGCTTATTCTTACTATTCGTCGAGTTGCCTAGTTCCATGATTGTCAATCCTTTTTAATGGAACAAGTTCTCATTAGATTTTAATTTTTATAAATATTTCACGAACAAAACCTTATTAATCCGACTAAAAATTAACTGACATTAAATTTGATTAAACCGTATTTGTTATTAACTCCCTCTTAAAAGGGACCATTGAAAAAATTATGTAGATCTCTTTCTGGTAGATAACTCTATTGAGTTCAATTTACATCAGATGAAAATGAAAGTTTAAATTCGTCAATCTAGAAAATAAGACCAACGTGAGCAGGAAGATCACTTCATAACTGGTGCTATCTTTGAATCTTTTTATCGATTAATATATCTTGATACGCATTATATTCACTTATCAAACAATATTTTAATGAGATTTACAACTACTAATACATTGGATGTAATGCTGAAATGAAGAGTTCAATTCTAACAAATGAGTTTACAGTTGACGATTTTATGTGAAATAGAGTCATTGTACGAGCAGCATTATCTGGGAATAAGCAGAATCCATGTGTTCATTGAAACATTCACTTTAGTGACATTTTGCTTCAGGACAGCATTTGCAGCAATTACAGTTACCACCAGTTTTACATGCGGCTGTACTACAGCATTTACAGCAATCACAGCTACAAAAAGAGAGAAAAAATGAATTTATTATCTCAATAAAACAAAAAGTGTTTGTTTAGATAAATGGAGTGTAACAATTGTATGACGCATTATCTCATGATTAGGATAACAATTACATTATGATTTGATTTATGGAAGGAGGGAAGAAGACGAGAGTCATCTCTCTAATCACACAATCAGTCTAATGTTGTAATAATGAGAAAGTTGAATCAGTGATAAACTGAATTGAGCTTACCTTCCAGAGCCAGATTTAGCTGCTGAACAGCAGTTGCAGGGATCACATTTACAGTCTGGACTGCATCGTGAACCAGGACAATCAGCACAACAGGTACAATTATTACCACATCGGCAACCAGACGATTTTTCAGGTTGAGTTGAGGTTTTAGCACAGCAGCCACCAGTAGACATGTTTGATGTTGAAGAGTAACGTTGAATTGAAACAAGTCAAAAAAAAGAGAAGAGTAAAAGGATTAGAGTTGTCAGGCCAATATCAGGTCACTTGAAATCGATGAAATGTTTGTTGATGGTTCCATATGCTTTTGGGTTTCATCTTAAATACAATTAAAAATTGCGTTTGACTGCAAAAATAAGATGACCGTGTGCAAAAAATCGTCTGCAAAAAAATCACTTGATATCAAGATGAAACAGGATGTGACAATAATTACATTGGTCCTTAGACCAAAGGGGAGTCCCATGATGGGGGGAAGTTTATAATCTTTACAGGTTTCCAGATTGTTCTGTTTCCCATAAATCCAATAAAATTATTATAAATCAAGATAAATTGAGCCATTAACAGTTTAACGCGCAATAACTCAAATTATTACGCTTTTTTTAAAGCATCTTATTGTCAAGCTACAGAAACTGAATTAAATATGGAGAAAATTAGAAAATTTTGGACTAAAGGTGATCGTAGTTTACCTTGTTCAACAAAACAACAAATTAATCTGTACGAAACTGAAACTGTTTGTTTCTTATTAGAGAAAGAAAGAGTTGAAAAATAAAAGATGATGTGTTCATTTTAACTCAAAAATGATAAGAAGGAAGATGATGACGACAAAGATAAAAACGTGGTTTGACCATAGAGAAAGACTTTTCGTCGTTTCTTTTCTCTTTCTTCGCATTCTTTGTCATCTTCATCTTCCTTCTTATCATTTTTGAGATAAAAGTAAGTTTAGCTAATAAAAATTGATAATGTTCAACTATTAAAAATGAAATCACTCGCAAAGTGATGAGTGTCAAGTTTAAATCTTGATTAACTTGCAAAATAAACAGTATAGTGATTGCTTTTGCTTTTACAAAAAGACTGGTTAACCCGATTATTCATCTTACATCTTATGCTAGACTAGAAGAGGCACCATTTAGGCAAAGAAAACGGCTTTTTTTTGTTTTGTTTGATATCTTCCATCGGCAAATGATTTGATCGCAATGCGATCATCGCATTATCTCAACCAAATTTTATGACTAGCATCGTATGGCATAGGGCATTGCAGACGAAATTTGTTCCGTCGTACAGATGAGAACGGAAAGATTAAGATCTGAATGAAAAAGGTAAAAACTTAAGTCATATGTAACGCTCAGACTTCACTGTTATCAACAGTAGGCTAGTAATATGAAATTGAAACTCCTACGCTTATTTCTGGTAATCCTCATCAAAATTGGACAATTTCAAGTCTCAACCTGAATCGTTGTAAAGAGAAGAGATGTGGGAACGAATGATGATAAAGAGGATGATAATGAAGATGATTATTATGATATGTGTACAACAACGTTGAAACAAGGAGTAAAAGCAAATAATTTTAGTGTTACTTTTATATTTTCTTGCTCTTTAAATGGTTTCAACAAAGTGACAAAATGGATAAAAGGATATTGATATCAATTTAAGGAAGATGATCCCTTTTCAAATGATCATAATAGTGTGTCATAAATATCGATTGAAATTTACTGTTTCAAAAGATTCCCATGTTGTTACTATTTTACTTTCATCTCTTCCTTTCCATCTTCACAGAACACAGAAAAATCAATCCAATTGATTACCAATGTGAGGTTTTCCTTTCTTCTTCTTCTTCTTCTTCTTCCCATCTACTCATCTCATTTCATCTCATTTTAGTTTACTTTCTTTCTTCTTTGTTTTCTTCTAATACAATTTAAAGAATTGAGTTTAAAAAGAAATTCATATAATAATTGAAATGAAACTAAGTTTTACCTCAATTGAATGGTATTAATTCAGAAGCTTTAACCATTTCCCATCTTCCATCTCTATCTATGCTTTCAGAACAGAACTTTGTCTTTGAAGTTTCCTAAACTCATTCTCTATCATAATTACAATCATCATCACCATCATAAATCCGACTCTCTATCAATATCACTTTCTACCTGTTTTGATATCTTCAAGAGCTTTCTAAGGATATCAACAAAACGTGATGTTAGTGTCTCGTGGCGATGGCTTTTTGGAAGCTAAGTCGTGCAAACAAGTAAACAGCTTACGAAGAAATTCAGTTCTCACCGAGCTTCTGATATTTAGCTTCTGTAGCCTCATGTGGTTATCATTTTTGCATTACGCATCTCTCTCTCTCTCTCTCTCTCTCTCTTTCCCTTACCTTCTCTTTCCTAGTCTATTTCTGTTTTCTTTGTCTATCTTAACTTACCTTTTGGCAGCTAAGCCTGGAGAGAAACTGGAATCCCAGTATTTTGATTGCTTTGAAACTGTTTGGAAAGGTATGAAGAGCGTGAAAGTGGAAACTATTTGCCCAACCTTCCTCCTAAACAGACCTCTAATTTACTTTCTAGATCCGGGTTCTAGTCAAACATCCAAAATGAAGCAGTGAAAACCAAAGATACGTAAGATGATGATTTCAATGAGCTCCTCCAAAGATGATTATGATGGAAAGGCCAAAATATTGATTTCGTTCGCTCTCTCTCTCTCTCTTTCTTCCTTTCTCGTCTTTTCGTCTTCCATCTCTTCACTCCCTTCTTTCTCTCTCTCTCTTCTTCACTGTCTTCAAGCAGTATTGAAGACGATTTTCTTACTTTCTTCCCAACTTCATTATTGATTGTTTGTGTTGGGTTTGTTTGCAATTATCAATAAACATAATTGTATCTTGTTGAACTAGATATCTCGATGAAGGAAGAAAAGTAACTTTTACTCTCAGAATCAAATAGATTAATACGACTATTACTTATTAATTAACCTAAAGCTATTATTAAATTAATCGAAGAGGAATAAATTGTAGCTTTCATAAATCGGTTAGAGTTGGATTATTGATGATTAAAATTACAATATCTTCACTCACTTATATTGGCTTCAATCTTATAATAACTGAAACTCAAGCAAAGTTTTCTCTCAATTGAATTAATAATTTTTTCTTTTCTTTTTAGGCTGGTAAAGAGTTTTATTTAATGATAATTGCTGATGATGGACATCAAAAGGTAAATTGTGTTTTATTTGAATTAGTGTAATTGTTCAGCATTGAAAAAGTTAGAAGTTCAATGAGTTTAACGCCAATAAAACACGCAACGAAACAGTTGTTTAGAGTAGTTAATATGGTTACGAATTGGCTAATCAAGAATCATCTGTTAAAAGACAATGGACTAACAGTCTGAATAAATTAACCTTAACTGATTAACTGCTGAGTATCACTGAAAACTCTATTGAATACAACCATAATTGCATTAGATGAAGAGCTTAATTTGATTAAATTACAGGGAACATGTTAAAGACTGTAGCCATTTTGGTGATTTACAAGTTTAATTTAATAAACTGATAAATCCTTTTTTTACTTTAAATGCAAAACTTTTCATTTCTTATAAATAATCAAAAATCAGTTTGATTTCAGCTTATTTTATTAGTCATTTAAACTGCAGACTAATAATCAAATTGCCGCTTTTGCAAAAAATTGATAGCTTTAGCTAGTTTTAAGCGAAACTTTGATTAATTTAAATGAGTTTTATCTACAAATTATGATCTCTAATCTTAAATTTTTCATTGAATACAGGCTAAAATAGAGGTTAGAGTTCGCATCGTCAATGAAGATTCATGGAGCGGTAAACAGGCCAAACCCTATCAAGGATCTAAAATTTCAATTAAGAGCCAACAAGCTCAGCCTCACCCACTGGACAATAAACTGGAAAACAAGACCATTATTTTATCAACAATTGATGGTGAAACGTTAACCACTCCTAAATCATTTTATGGTAACATTTCAAACACCGGCGATCTGCCCAATAACAACAAGATCATCAATGCCCCAGACAAAAGTAGGAATGAGCAAACTATTGATGATAAAAATCACAAGACCAGTGACTCGAATGATGCTAATGGCAACAGTATTGAGCTGAATCTTGGCAGATCACCTGATGTCCATTCACAAATTCATCATTTACTTCGAGGTTCACCAGTTTATCCCGGTTTACCTGAAACACCATCAAATTTCATGAGATCATACCAGAGATCACCTTCTTTTCAAGATGATTCAATGTACCCAAAATTGACCACAAACTTGATTTGGCCTGTACTCGTTTTCCTGTCCTTTGGTCTAGCAATAGGGTTTGGATGTATCCTCTTATATCAAAGACATCGTCCACTTTTACCGTATGTAAACCAATCAATTAAAGGATCACTTCATGAAAACATCTCTCGTGAACCCAAAGTATCTGTCAATAAATCTGAATCGTCTGGAACAGGAATCAGTTCAATATCATTTTCAACTCGATCAACTGAATACGAACAGGATCACTTATTCATTGGTTGGCCTGAAGAGTATGAAAGACCTTTATCCTGTGGAGTTCATCATGATAATCAAATTTCTTTCAACAATGCTGACATTGATAGACAGTTAGTCCAATCATCCAGAAACTCGAGACAAAAGGAGAATGTGATTAGCGAAAATGATGGAAGAATCAGATCGATTGATGATGATTTAGCTTCAGTTAAATTTGATTCATGGGAATATCCTCGTACAATGTTGAGGATGATTGATAGGCTGGGTGAAGGATGTTTCGGTCGTGTTTGGAAATGTGAAGCATATGATATAAAATTTCGTGAAGGAGCATCCATTGTGGCCGTTAAAGCACTCAAGGAAGGAGTCTCGTGCAAAGAGCGTCTTGATCTTGACAATGAACTGGAAATACTCAAAAAACTCAAAGCTCATCCAAATGTTGTCTCTCTACTTGGATGTTGCACTGAAAAAGAACCCAAATTTTTGATCCTTGAATATGTACCCTTTGGTACTTTACAAACTTATCTACGAAATCACAGAGGAGACTTTTTCAATAAAGTGCCTTCACTAGATGATTGCGGGACTGATGGCTCATCAAATGTTTTAGCCAAAGAGTTGCTTCTTTTTGCCTACCAAATAGTTAAAGGCATGGAACACATTGCTTCAGAAGGAGTAAGTAACAACTCTTTAATCAGACACAAGTTAACCTCACAAAAAGTACTTTAAATTAACTCGAAAAATTTATTACTATTTTTAAACACAGATAATTCATAGAGATTTAGCTGCTCGTAATATACTCATTGGAACCAATAAAACGTGTAAAATAACTGACTTTGGGTTCTCTCGTGAAATAAGCAGTGAATCAATATACGAAAGCAAATCAGAGGTGAGAATTGCTTTTATCTTTATTTTTCTGACAATTTCGGCAAATGTGGATATCAATACAGTTCTTGGTATCTCGATGAGATCAAAAACACCGAAATGCCGGAAAACATTGTCTCTTATTTTGAAAACTGGTTAAGCCCAAGTGTAATGGTTGTAATTTTATTCTCGAATCATTTTAGGGTCGATTACCGATTCGCTGGATGGCTCCAGAAGCATTGAAAGATTACACTTTTTCAGTGAAAAGTGATGTTTGGTCATTTGGTGTTTTAATGTGGGAAATAGTGACCCTTGGATCAACTCCATATCCTGGTATGGATACGAAAGAGGTGATGAGAAAAGTTATTAATGGTTTTCGTCTTGAAAAACCTGACCACTGTCGACGGGAAATGTACAATATTATGTATTACTGTTGGGAAACGAGGCCCGCTTCAAGGCCTACATTTACCGAGCTTATTGATAAACTTGATAAATTAATTGCCAGTGAAACAGATTATATTCAACTTGATCGCTTTCCAGATCACTTATATTACAATATTATTGATACACCCTTGTCGGGTGAAAAATTGTAAATATCAATTCAAAAAAAAGTATGCTTTTGATTATATTTTGTAACAATAATATTTCCTATTTACCAAATAAAAGACTAATTTCCACCAATTTTTAGTCAAAATTTATTATCGGTCCGTGTTACCTTTCCTCCAGTTTAAAAATTGAGTTAACTTTGAGTTTTTGCTTTTCCGTTAGCCTGTCATCTAGGTGAACTACAGCCGAATAGAGTTGCTCGGTTTCAGTTTCGATAATCTAAATAATCGCCAATTGTTTCGGTATTATTCGATAGATAATTTTTCTCAATACCGACTCGGTAAGTCCCTCTGAACCAAAGATCAAAGGTTACTCTTTGGTAAACAATTTTACACAAGTTTTTAGTGCAAGTTTTTCATTTTTTGCTTTCAACCCTTTTTCCCATAGGTGGGTCATTAGAGCAGACTAATTGTATTACATTGATTTTAAGCAACTTCATCACTTAATACAATGTCACAACAACGACAATCATCAAGTTTTTTTAGTAATTCAGTTTTAACGATGCCTGAAATTTTTTTCAACTTGTTTCCTGATCAACTTGAAGACAGTTTGCTGGTGAGCGACATTTCGGAAGAAGGTAAATATTTTTTGGACCCATTCGGTTTTTCCTTCTCAACATTTTTCAGACAATCAACTACCAATAGCAGCTGAACCACGAGGAATCCCCGATGAAGCAGCAAGAAGAAGCAAAAATCAGAGTTTTTACCAACACTCCTTTTTAATAGAATGGCTAGTGTCATCTATTGGCTAATATACAAGTTGTCTGGTATCGTCATTTCGTAGAAACTTTTGCGATGAAATAATTTCCTAAAATTCTGAAGGCTATTCTTTCCCGAAACAAGATATCTTTTAACTCAACACTAATGATTTTAATTGTCTTACTGAAAGGTTAACATTTCTAATAAGAATGTTTCTGATGCTGTGAATCTTCAATTAACTGGAGCAATATGTTTGAATCTAATTTCCACCATTTAAAAGGGAATCGTTAACGTCAATTTCATTAGCAAACAGTGAGTAAACAAAGGTTTACTCAATTATCTCAAGACTTATTTTTAAGGTAAATTAAGTTAATTTTTGTGTTTTTTTTGTCTTATTTTCCCTTCTTTTCTGATCTTCAAATTGAGTCAAATTGGCTTTCTAGTTAATTTGTCTCAAATTGTAGCTGCAAAACTAAACCAGGAAACAACAAAAATCCCAAATTAATTTAACCTTCGAGTTGATAATTTGATTGAAATTGGCATTCTGAGTGGGGAAATCTCAGGAAAGTGAGAATCAAAATAGCAAAAGTCGTTTAAGCAAAGCTCATCCAAGACAGCTCTCATTTAAATCATCTCAAATTAAATTCCTTGTAATGATAATTTGAACAGATTAAATAGAGAAGTTCACAAAATTGAAAAATAAAATAAAATTGTGATTGCAGGTGATCACAGTCAGCATTCTGAATAACCAAAATATGCTCCGAAATACAGAATCTGCGTTTTATTAATAATTTAGAGTATCTTTAGTTTCGCTCTTGAAAATATTGCTATTTAAATGTCACTGTTCCAGCCTTCTGAGTTTAAAGCTTGATTAGGAATTTAAAAATCAAAGCCTTAGGATGGATAAAAAGGGAACAAAAAAGGTCACATATTAAAACCTCTCAGCTTATTCACTGTCAATGTTTCATGATAATACAAAGATGATGATTTTATAATTTGTAATCCTGAAAATTAATGGCGACACATAATCATGTTGACAGATGAATGAATATAACCTGGTTTAGTGATAAAAACAAACATCCATTAACCAGATTAACCTGTTAAGAGTCAGAAAACAAAAACAAAAGCCTTTGTATTATAAAATCTCATTTTGCAGTCTAAATTTCAAGGCATTCATTCATCAGCTTTTTCATTGAGGCAAAACAAAACAACTTTTCAACAATTTAATGTCTTCTAATTTACCAGTGAAATGAACAATAATTTAAAGTTGCCTGATTAAATTGAGGAAATCTATTCTGAAAATGCCACTAAACAAGATACAACAAGATACTTATGAAAAGGCAAGGAAATGTGACAACAAATATACTGAAAAAAGGGTCGAGATTCCAGACAATGAAATGATAATGATGAAGATGTAAAAAGATGATGAAAAGTGTTAAAGATATGAAAACGATGGATGAAGATGAGAAGAAGATGAAAGTGATGGGAAAAGGGATAAAATTGTAAGAAAAGAAGGAAGGAAATTGTCATTATACAAGTGCTTATAAAGGGAAATGTTACTGTAAGAGTTTAACGTTGAAAGCTTAAATATCTTCAGTGACAAGTTTAAAGGCTGCATGATAAACTAGGTATTCATTGACATCATCATCATCATCATCATTTTCATCATCTTCTTTGTCCTCTGTGAGTATATTATATTCAACTCAAATTTAGTTATCGATTGGCTTTGGTTGTCTTCATGCTGCCTTTCACTAACCAAGTCACCTTTTGTTTTTATCATTCCTCTTCATCTATCTTTTCAACCTTTTTTTCCCCTGTTTCCCTTTTCTCTTCATCATTACATTCCCCTGTAACTACACCATTCAATTCAAACCTTTTCATCTTCATCCTTTTTATATCATCTTCCTTTCATTATCATTCATGTTCCAAAGGAGTGATTCACTTTAATAGGTAAATAGCTTTTTGTGTGTTTCTTTGACTATGCTAAGGCCTAAGCCTATGCCTATGTGTTTATCCCTTATTCAATTGTTGTCTACAGTTTGACTATTTGTGTAGTTATTGATGTAGTGGATGATGATGATGATGATGATGATGAAGAGGATGAAAATTGTGAGCATGAAGATGCAGAATATGTGTAAGTTTCTGAAAAGATTTACCATGAAAAAAAGTTCCTATTAGGTTATTGTAATATTTTTACTTTCCTTTTGGGTTATGGTAATGAATCGCACAATGAAGCAACAATCTTTCCTTTAATAATACATCATGAAAATTTTAATTTTTAATTTTTGTTGTTCAAATTCTTGATTCAATTGATCTCATAGATTCCAAACATAATCTGTCCTGATTGTCAGTCGCCTGACTTTTCACTCTGGATTTGAACCTGATTTATAAAGTGGTATCAACCAGGAAAAGCACAAAACCATGGACAAAATTAGACCGATCTGGACGATTCCATGATGATTTTGTACATTAATAGGGAAAGATTTTGACTATCGCTTGGAAATTTTTCCATGATAAGGATCAAATAGCTTGTTTCGCATTGATTATGGATGTAAAGCACTTGATAAAGTCGGTGTAATATGTTCAAGAGGCGACTTCATTGTCTTCCCATTCAAAAGTACATTTTTTGATTGAAGCTTTCTGATGAACTGATTAGATTATTCGGTTTGATTAATTTACACATTGTATCTATTTGCGACTCAATGCATCTTTAGTTCAACATTGGCTTTCCATCTTTTCCAACTCTTATTTGAACCTAATTTTCTTGATTCAATTTTTACTCTTTCGCCGATTGAAAGTTAACCAATTGTTGTTGTCAAACCTTAATCATTCTTGATTTGGTTGTAAAATTAAATTATCCAAGCTCACAAAGGACATCAATTTGGGCAATTAGATGAGCAAATCGTTTCATCAATTGTGTGTCTATTGCTATTAAAGAATAGGAAATGTAAATTATGATAACCATCATGATTACTATTAATAACAATGAAACATTTTGCTGCTCTTCTGATAACTATTTAGGTAATGAATGTATACGTTTCGTGATGATATTAAGTTTTAAGGGTAAGAATTGATCAATTCAAGTTTCCTCAGCATTCATTACCATTATAATAATGATTATTATCAATATGAAACACTGTAAGTGAAAAAACATCCAACAATCAATGATTAATCAATTCCACAATTATACTTCGATATTTAATTCCAGAGTTGAAAGTTGAAGCAATCTTGATTTGATTGAAAATTGTACTTTAACCAAAGGCAATAAAAGTCCTTGCTATTGCAATTTCAGCTGAATGTTGAACTGAAAAATTGTAAATATAAATACAATTTCACTATTTAATAGTATTTGGTATTGAAATAATTGAATTAAATTATCTCCAGTTGATTATTTGACTGTTCAAATAAACTGTTTTGTTTGTATTTGCAATTGTTTTGTATTACTTCAAGAGATTCATTTACATCAAGTGTAAACCTTGACCCAAATGAACCAGTTTTCAGAGGCACTTTTTTTTCTGGTAAAAACAAAATCTGGTTCAATATTAGTTTGCTTACCAGTTAATAAATGTTAGCTAGTGATTTAACTGATTAAACTTGTAATTGAACAACGGAAAAAGGATAAGCTTAAAAACATTGAAAGCTGTGAGTGCAAGTTGAATCATAAATGTAAAGCTTTCAAGTTTCAGTTGAACTGAGGTCAAGCTTTAATCAAGTTACACTTAGACTGTCCAGTTGAACCTGAAAGGCTAGTTAAAGTGATGGTTAAGAAGGAATGAAAATAATGAAATGTACTATTTGTTCAGTCACTGAATAATGTTTCAAATGTTACCAACTAAGCAAAGATGAGATGAAAAAAACAGATGACTTGACAGTATGTTAAGCATTGTTTCATCCGATGAACAATCCTGAAGATAAAGTGAAGGGAAGAGTAGAAAAAAAATAATGAAAAGATGAAGATTAAGATGATTGTTTGGAGATGAAACCAGAAAAGGTAAGAACTGATAAAAGGAAGATGAAAAATGGTGAGTTATTCAGATCACGATATACATTTGCTAATGATTTGAATCATGTTTACAATCAATTTATCCAACTATTCACACTTTATCTTCATTTAGATGATCCAGATTTCCTAGATCATCCTGGTTATCTTCATCTTTACCTTTACCTTTTCATCTGGATGATTATTTATCATGAAAAGATGTCTGTTTCTGTAAACTTGGGTAACAATGCTTTTTTTGCTTTGGGTTTTACTTGTATCTTGCAAGACTCTGATCATGTAACATTGAAGGTTCAACTGGAAGATGAAAGGATGATGTTGATGAGTAATGGTGAAGATGAAGATGATAGCTTAAAGGATTCAATGGGTTTACATTGGTGGACAAGTAATTTCATTTGCAAGTATAAAACCATTTTTGTTTTTAGGTTGGTTGATTGAGAAAAGCTTGGACTTAACTTATCAAGTGAATGTTACAATCAAAATAAATGTTTAATCAATCAGGTTATCGATGAAGTTACAGATTGTAATCCAATGGTGAGACAAAAATGTCATTTAACAACAATTTCAAATGTTAATGTAAGGCTTGTTGTTGTCTGGTGTATAAAAAGGGTTACATTAAATAATGATAATTCAATGGATTTCTTCATGTTGGTTCAATGAAAATTAATGCGCAACATTTAACTATTAATATCATTGGAAATGGGAATCAATGCCAATAAATATTGACATTAGTTACATTTGCTAACATCGACATTGGACTTGGAAATGTTTTTACAATTAATACGATTGAATAGCAATTGAAAACTGACAAAAACAAATGTTGATTGCATGATGGTGATGCATTAATAATATCAACAATCATGTTGATATTGGCAGCTTTTCACCTGACAAGAGTTTCCATAGCAATTACATTGTATTGGATATTTGCTATATTTAATTGCGACAATCCATGAAGGTTAAATTTGATGGTCATTAGTTAAAATAGCCTTTTGTGTCCATCAATAAGCTTGAAGCGATCTCTTTGTAAAAAGCTATTGAAGCTGCTCGGTCCATTGTAACTTGATAAGATGAAGCCACCATTGAAGATATTTTTGGGTTTGAAAAATTGGCGAAACAATGAGTTGCTATTATGTCCATTAATAAAGGCCACTGATGGTTGATTCGAGGTGAAAAGTTATTATCTTGATGATTCCCAATAGGATGAGAGGTACTTGTATTAATTATATAGTTGTATGAATGGCCAAACCAATTAGTCAAATTGAATATGATATTCTGAAAGATAAATCGGAATAAAGTTAGAATTGATTCGATTATTTTTAAAAGGAAATACCATGGATCTTGCCAAGCATATTTGTGTGTGTGTTTAACTGTTTGTTAGAAAACTAATGAAAAGAATGATTCTGCCAAGATAAATGTTGATCTTGCTAATATTAATAATAGAATGTTGATATTAATAATTAAATCAAGAGATGGTATTTCCAGTTTTCAACTATTTTTAGGATTTTCAATTCCTATTGAAGAAATACATTAACTTTCATCTGTTGGAAGACGAAATAATTCATGAAAATGGTTTCTTTTTGAAAAAAAGATTTGAATGATTTTACCTGCCAGTCAGCCTTTAAAGTAACAATTGTATCGAGAATGAATCGATAATGGCAATTTCCAACTTGATAAAGAATCGGCTTTATGTTGGTGATGATGATTATAATTATGATAGAGAATGAGTTTAGGAAACTTGAAAGCAAAGTTCTGAATTGAAAGCTTAGATAGAGAAAGGGAAGATGGAAGATGGGAAATGGTTAAAGCTTCTGAATTAATACCATTCAATTGAGGTAAAACTTAGTTTCATTTCAATTATTATATGAATTTCTTTTTAAACTCAATTCTTTAAATTGTATTAGAAGAAAACAAAGAAGAAAAAAAGTAAACTAAAATGAGATGAAATGAGATGAGTAGATGGGAAGAAGAAGAAGAAGAAGAAGAAGAAAGGAAAACCTCACATTGGTAATCAATTGGATTGATTTTACTCTGTTCTGTGAAGATGGAAAGGAAGAGATGAAAGTAAAATAGTAACAACATGAGAATCTTTTGAAACAGTAAATTTCAATCGATATTTATGACACACTATTATGATCATTTGAAAAGGGATCATCTTCCTTAAATTGATATCAATATCCTTTTATCCATTTTGTCACTTTGTTGAAACCATTTAAAGAGCAAGAAAATATAAAAGTAACACTAAAATTATTTGCTTTTACTCCTTGTTTCAACGTTCTTGTACACATATCATAATAATCATCTTCATTATCTTCCTCTTTATCATCATTCGTTTCCTTGATTCATCTTTTCAGTCCTTCTTTTAAAGAGCCTCTGGAGATGTATTTTGGGTTCAGCTTGACTTTGTCCAGCAAACATCAAATAATCTAACTGGAGACGCCATGATCAAGGTTACAATTCATTGGGTTGATATTGGTCAGTCCAGAGATGTCCTCAGCACTATTCAGCCAAATCATTTTGGTGAATGAGACGTCGCTCAAGAATGATAAGATAAAAGCAAGTGAAAGTGAGAAAAATAAAAATAAGATTCATTTAAAGAAATATAAACATCAAAGGCTCAATGATTTTCGGGGAACCAATGTAGACATTTAGGAATCGATAATATTGAACTGTCCTTCATGTATCACCACCAAGATATCAGCTTACTCAATGGGAACGTTCACTTGGATTAGGGTGAGGAAAGGAGGCAGAGCAGAAAATAAATAAGTAAAAATGAACATGATGAAGTATGAAAACTCAATGAAAAGCTTTTGTTTACTTTTTTCACTCTTTTGCTCTTTCATCTTTCTTGCTCTAGTTTTTACGAGTAAATATTGTCAATAGATTCTCTCTAATAACAAAAGAAATGAATCAATCTGAACACAATTGTTTGAATTATTGTAAAATAGTAAGATACTGATAACAAAGATAATCAAGTTGAGCGTATCAGAATACATGTCAACCTTTTCAAAAATCATCATTTCTATTCTCTCACTTCATCATTCACTTTATTTTCAGTTCATCCACAACTTACCTTGTCTTATTTTGATGAATATTTGCCAGAGGAATCCAAGACAAGTGTCAATTTCCTATCAATCATTCTAATCAATGGAGTAATCCGAATGCATTGTCATCATTGTGTTTGGAGTGAGGAGTGTTTGAAGAAAAACCAAAGAAAACTGCAAAAACAAAAATCAAGATAAAAATGCACCAACAATGAGTTCTGTTTGATCCAATGATTAGGCTTAAATCCTTCTCTTGAACTCAGACTTATTTAAAATTTGAATTACCCAAAGAAAGCAAAAAGGCATTAAAAGAAACAACATTCATGAATAAAAGCAAAATGACTAAAAAGTTGACTGAAAGATGTTATCTTTGCTGACAAATGAGGTTGAAACAAAACAAATGTCCGATGATGAAACCAAATGAAATTGGCGCTTCTTTTGCTTGCCTGTTAGAAATTTGATTTTTCATAATTTTGATAACCATAGTGACAAATGGTTTAACTTTATCAATCTTGTTTCCATCTTGATATCAAGTGATTTTTTTGCAGACGATTTTTTGCACACGGTCATCTTATTTTTGCAGTCAAACGCAATTTTTAATTGTATTTAAGATGAAACCCAAAAGCATATGGAACCATCAACAAACATTTCATCGATTTCAAGTGACCTGATATTGGCCTGACAACTCTAATCCTTTTACTCTTCTCTCTTTTTTTCACTTGTTTCAACTGAACGTTACTCTTCAACATCAAACATGTCTACTGGTGGCTGCTGTGCTAAAACCTCAACCCAACCTGAAAAATCGTCTGGTTGCCGATGTGGTAATAATTGTACCTGTTGTGCTGATTGTCCTGGTTCACGATGCAGTCCAGACTGTAAATGTGATCCCTGCAACTGCTGTTCAGCAGCTAAATCTGGCTCTGGAAGGTAAGCTCAATTTATCAGTGACTCAGCTTTCTATTCATCACAACATAACTAATTGTGTGATTAGAGAGCCAACCCTCATCACTTTCATTCCTTCTCCTTCTTCCTTTCTTCACTCCTTCTATCAATCAAATTGTATTGTAATTGTTATCCTAATCATGAGATAATATCGTTATACAATTATTTCAATCCATTTATCATTTATTTTTTTCTTCTCTCTTTTTTATAGCTGTGATTGCTGTAAATGCTGTAGCACGGCTGCATGTAAAACTAGTGGTAACTGTAATTGCTGCAAATGCTGTCCTGAAGCAAAATGTCACTAAAGTGAATGTTTCAATGAACACATGGATTCTGCTTATTCCCGGATATTGGCTCTTACAATGACTATTTTCCCATAAAATCGTCTAAATGAATTTACTGTAAACTCAATTCTTAGAATTAAACTTTTTATTTCAGCATTGCATTCAGTGTCGTAGTAAATTTCATTCAAAAAATACATTCATTTATTTTTTGATAAGGGAATATAATGCGTATTAAGATATTTTTTTGCGATTTGTATATCAAGTGGATGATTTGCAGTCGGTTTTTAGGATTCAATTCTGATATCATCGAAAATAGCTTTTGTTTTTATTTTTTCAGTAAAAATTCTGGTTAATTAAAATATTGTAAATCAGACGAGCGTTTCTCAGTTACGGCTTTGACTTGTTGTATCCAATGTATGGTAACAAAAATAATCCAGTTGGTAACAAGTGATTAATTGGCAACATTGTTGATTAAATAAATCTATTCCATATTAATGTATCTTTCCCTTTCTATTTTGTCTCGCCTTGGACTTTTTTATATTACCTCTTTGCTTATATTTGACATCTCAATTAATGAATAAATAACTCACACACCAGAAACTTGCACCACAACCGTGAAACCATTTATTTTGTTCATTAGATTAACAGAAAAAAAATGTTGATTAACATGGCAAACGGTTCGGTAAACAGTATAGTTAACTGTGCATTTTTGGTGTAAAAAAGTGAGCTTAACTTGATCATTCATCAGCTTTTCATCATGACCATGATCAATAATAGTTAATGAGTGATAAAAATGTTTATTGTCAAAAAGGTTGAAAAGCTGACATAACCATAATCAACTATTATTGTAATGAAGAAAAAAAGAAATGCCAATTAATCACATCAATCAGTCAAAAATTACCTCAAACATCAACAAATCTTTTGTTGTTGAATCAAAATATGATAAAAACACTCTCTAAATTGTTGTCTTCATTGAATCATGAACAGAGCTTTGTTGAACTTTTTCACAATAGCAATCATAAGTCGTAAATAAACTGTGTGAATAAAAATCACCCAATTTGATCCATAATTTAACAAATTATCACACTAAGAATAGAATCATAGATTTTTGCCGAAAAATATAAACATTCCATCATAATCATTATCAGATCATCATATCAATCTGATAGTTGAATAGCATGCGATGCTTGTTGTTCAAAAGTCGTCACTTGAACAAGTCTAACAAATAATTCAAAATTTTGAACATTACAACGAATTTGAGTAGATAATTGATTCGACCAACAGAAACTTGGAATACAATGTCAGTGTATAAACACGTTTCTTCGTAAATTGAACGTAACTCCCTGTATAAGTATTTTGCGCCTTGATTTATGCTCACCATTAATCTTAGCTAGACATGAAGACAATTAAGAATAAAAACGAAGATATTCCTGGAATCATTATGGAACTGGCCTTTACCACTGTGAATCGATTTAAGACAGAAGAAACCAAGTTCCGCTCCAATTGGTTTCAACAATACGACTCTGTAAACTACATTAGCCATTTCCCTTTTAGTTCACAGTGAATAAACACTTGGACCATTTGATAGTCATCATCACCATCATCCACATTTTGTATCTTCATTTCTCATCACTCTTTGTTTGTTTAAGGAGGATGTTAAAAAACTTTTACTTTACTTGTTTCATGGAGAGATTCATGACTCTGAAAGTCTAATGAGAGTCTGCAAGAAAAGATGAAAAAGAGTTAAATTAAAGTTAAGACAAAATTGAGAAGAGGTGAAGATACATTAACCAACACAACATAAGTACAGTATTGATCAGGGTTAAGTTAACAAAATCGAAGGTTTTTTTCATAGTCGCCCTTTAACAATAAATCAAAGTACCAATAGAATCGAACATTATTTTATTCAGTTTGCTATTGAGTTTTTTTCGCATCTCTACAGACTAGATATACTCGAGATGTCGACACCTGAAAATTAACTTGAATCTGACCCTTTTTTGTCTAATGTTAGCCTAATGGTTAGCATTGGCGATAAGACTGTCTATCTTCATAGATTGTAATCGACATCTTGGGTGCAGCGCTTGAATTTTGCCAAGTTCCGAAGTTAGGGCGACACACACAAGTGCTTACTCAGGGTAAACCTGGACTAACCAATTCTCTCTTCCTGGTGGGTCTCCAGCTGGATGGGTAGGTAAAACACCTAACGTTAGGTAGCAAGGGATAGACGTTGCCTCAAAAGCTGTCTGTCCACATGAGCAAGAAGTTAGCTTAACCCTGACCACTATTGTTGTATGTAAAAAGTGCTTCTATTATTTCAACAGAAACTCCAATTGTCACGCATTCTCCACCATCATGGTTTATTGATCCATTGATTATGCAATTGTTATTCATTTAAATTGATCCAATTGATTCGAGTAAACAAACTAAACAGTTGCACTCGTAAATAGATGAAGTTTCAGTTCAATTAGATTGCATAGAGAGTGAAATCATTGACAAACCTGAACAAAAATAACGTATGATCAAATTTCCTGGTAAAAAATAGAGAACTCGTAACTAGTAATTATACACCTTTAACTCAAAGTCCAAATAAACCACAAAATGTAACAACATAATGATAAAGTTGATTAAAATTGAAATAAAAGACTGCTAATTATCCACAAACTGAAAATGACTAATTAATAAACCGTTGGATTGAAATAAAATACTCGATCCATCTTGATACAGATATCAATACTTTTCACGTAAGCGTCTCTTAAAATAGCTTATTTTCACTATTCAACCATTAAAATCTTAATTAATTTTTTTTGCAATCTTTAATTCGTTAATTGTATCCTATTTCCCATTCATGGGTTAAACAAGACCAGTGTATATAATAAACATGGAGTGATTAAGCTTGAAATTGACTGTAATTTATTTGACTCGATTCAAACTCAGATTCAATTTTATAATACTTGACTTCACTCTATCATTTACTCGTCTAATTGTGGTTTAGTTAATTGAAACTGTGGGATATTAAGGTTAACTTGAGGATAGGGAAAAAAGATTTCAATGAAACGTAATTCACAAAAGAGGTGATAAAAATAAGATGTCTAACAAGTCTAACTGTGCATTAAAAAGCACCAAGCATACCGTAAATACCAATTATCAATTGAAGCGCAAAGTTTAACAATTCAATAGGCCATGTATATTATCATATGATTATCATTGTAATAAATCTATTAATACATATATTATTATGGATTCATTCAATTCGTTAACTCTTCATCAACATCATCACATTACCATTAAATTATAATACTCATATAATAATAGTTGTACCAAAAGGAAAAGCCATGTTTCAACCATTATGAGCACATAGTAGCTATTACAGAATCAAATGTACATTATGAAAAGATATAAATATAAAATAAGGAAAAAATAACACACCAAAATAATGAGCAATTCAAATGACGGTACAAGAAAGGATTGAATCCAATTAATTATATCACTAGATGATGAAAAAAAACAAAGAAAATACAACAAAAAAAACAAAGGAAAAAAGGTAAAAAAGCGTCGAAAGTCTATCAACTTTTTTACATAGAGAATAAAAAGGATGTAAACATTAAAAGTGGTTCAATATAAAGATGATAGATAATAATGAAAATTGGGACAAGTTATTCACCAAAGATGATAATTTAGATGATGTTGGAGATGTTAAAGATGATGTAGATGCTGTAGAGGATTGTGATGATGAAGAAGATGATGAAGATGAAGGAGAAAGAAGGAAATAGAGAAAGTAAATCGATCGAGGGAACAAAAAATTGGCATAAAAGGTTGAAGAAAGATGATTTTGTATCTGTATCTAGTATCTTGTATCCAGTATCTTATAAAACCAGAGTCGTCTCAGAAAGAGATCGAAACATTTTGAATGGCTGAAGAAAACAGTTTCTTCAGCCTTTCAATTGGAACCCAGTAAAAACTAGTTATACGTCGTATCTTCCCATGTATTTCAGGTCTGTCACGAATGCTCCAGATATTATTTTATAAGAAGAGAGAGAGAAAGAAGGAAAGAAAGAGGAAGATAGAGTGAGTAAAGAAGATGAAGTAAGGCTAAGCAAGTTGGAAAAAAAAGAGTGAAGGGAAACATTTTCCTATTAACCAAGAAACATTTTGTTCATTGTGACTTCTCTATTCAACTAGCAACTTTTTTTTACATTTCCCATCTCATCTTCCTCATCATCATCTCATATTCACCTATCACCAACATCATCAACATCAACATATTCATCATCAGTGGTTAGTGTCACTATTTGGAGTGTGTTTCCAGTGTCTTCATCTGTGGATTACCATTCCTGTTAATCGCGTTTGCTACACATTTTGGTGTTACTTTGTTTTTCATCTATCTTTTTGGGTTTCACTATTCCCATTCTGGTTAAACTTTCAATGAGATATCCGTGTAAAATATTTGCTGTTAACAGATAACCAGAGATTTAGTTGCAATGATCATCTTTTAAGGATTATTATTCAACGTTACCCATTTTTTTGTAATCCTAATCAAATGTTGTGTCTACCTGGACCAAAGTATCACATTACCTTTTACCTTTTGGTATGAATCAAATTTTTTGTTACTTCGTTTTGTTTATCCTCTCATTTGGACCATTATTACCATAACATCTCATTTGAAGCAACAATTGTTTCCATCATCATTTTATATCATCATTATTAATGATTCATTAACATCATTCCAATCATTATCCATTGTTTTATCGTTTCTCTTGAAAAACTTAGTCTTATTTTTGTTTATTTTTTTTACTTTTCAGATTTATTTTTCCGATTTTATCATCATTCCTTGGCTGCTTAATCTTCCATTTACCTCAGGTTCAGCTAGTTTCAGAGAACAGGAGAAAAAAATATTGGATTCTATCATAGGTCAAGGTGCTTATGATAGACGAATCAGACCTTCTGGACTCAATGCATCCGCCGAGGGTGGTAAGTATATATTAAAAGTATACTTGATGGTTGAAGTAGTTTATATCAAAAGCAAACTTCAAACATTTCATCCATCCTTCCATGGTTAACCAATAAATCAATCAACTCATTCTACATTCATTCATCTCAAAGTAATACAATGATAAATATGAATCCTAAATGTTTGGCTTTACAAATGAAAGTCAACTAAAGCTTCCAGTTTCTAAATTTATATGTTTTGTTTGTCGCTTTAATCATGTTAAATGACCAACATGATGCTCATAAAACTTGAACAAAGTCAGTTGATTAAGCTTTAGGTCAAGTTAAACTGAGTCTGGCCAGTTTCGTTTCAACTGCATCATTGATCAGAGTCTTTCATTGTTAACTTTCCTATCATAATCAATAGAAAAGATTTGACTTTAAAACATTGCGTTTTTTGGGTCAAACTTCTTTTTCTTATGTTCCTATCTCTTGAACATCATGTACATGGAACCTAATTCAAGCTCATCAATTAAACTAATTAGATTTGTTGAATTTCTGTAGCTACAAAAAAGGCTCGAAAATCTCATGGAATCATCAAAACTCCCAGTTGAGATGCAGAATAAACCACTTCTTGAATGCATAAAGTGAACAAGTTAATTCAGATAAAAAACTGTAACAATGATCTGTAACAGGATACTCTTAGGTCAACTATTTACTTTATCCTGAATTTCCATTTCAAAATTTCAAAAGTTTATTGATTTATTACAAAGTAAATAATGAAACAAAGTCTAATTTAGCATTTAAAACTCTATTGAAAAGTTGATTGAAAAGTCGATGAAAACTGATTTTTTGTTTTTCCAAAAGAATTTTTTTCTTCTAAAATTGATTCATTAAAATGAAAATGAACGGTGAGATGAAAATGGTCTTCTCATTGGTTGAACATGAAGATGATTTTTCATTGTGTTCATTGGTTTTGATGGATCATCGTAAATGGTCAAACTTAATAACAATAACAATAATGGTCATGACGATGATGATGAGTTTTTGCTGATCAATGGATTGAATCAGTAAATAAAGCCATCAAAAGTGCAACCATAAAACGGTTGAATGGTGAAAGTTTATCAAATAACAGAAATGTTGAGAAGTCAAAATACTGAAAATGATGATAATAAGAAAACAAATGTTGCAATTTTTATCATAATAATGATTAACCAAGATTAACTTGAAGAAGAAGAAGAAAAAATTCCGAGGTAACAACGAAACGCCCTGAAGAGTATTACATGAAGAATGATAATGAACAGTTTTATCACGATAATCAAATGGAGCAACTAATAAACTTTCACTCCCAACCATTATCAGAATTCAATTTAAGAGTAAAACTGTGTCATTGTGAGTGTTTAAACAAAATGAAAAATTGATTTTTATTCAATGTTTATCTTGAAGTTCATTTTCCTATTTATTCAGTGAAATTTGAAATGAAAATATAAAACCAGATAAACAATGAATATCATTACTTTTTTATTACTTATTCATCATTATCAGCTATGAAGCAAATATGGAAACAGGGAAAGCAAGAAAGGATGAAAAATGATGAAAAAATGGAGTAAAAATTTTCATTCCCAAGCTCAACAGATTCTGGATCAATGATTATACCTTTTTATTTTTGATCAGACACAAATGTTAACATTCATGTTTATTATTTTTTGTTGTTGTTGCTCATGAAAATACAAGAATATCATTTATATCAACAACATGATGATGATTATGATGCTGGGTCACTGCCCATGTTTGTAGTCACTAATGTTTCATATTTTAACCTCCCTTAGCATTGTATTCTGACTAATATTGATATCAGTTGATAACATTATTGTTATTATTAGCTATTATGAATTTATCATGATAACATTTTTTTGTCTCCCATGAAAAGGTGTTTTTTCCATCATCTTTTTGTCCCTTCCTTTCATCATTATCAAACCTGTTAAACTATTTTGTTGTTGTAAACACAAAAAGTGTTTCCAATTGATAATTAAACAAAATTGATGATAACATTTAAAGTCAACAATAACATTGACATTTCTATTCAATTTTTCAATATTGTTTAAAATGCTTCATTATTATGGTTTCAACCTTTTGTTTGCCTTTCAATATTTCATTTGGGTTAACATTTTATCAGCATCTTGATGTTTGCATCAAATGCTTTCTCAAATTCATTGTTAAGGTGATCAACCTTTAAGCTTATCAATGAATTTAAAATTCTCAAGAAAAAAGCTCAAGCATTAAATGCATTAACTTGATATCACTTTTCAACTGTTCATTGCTGGGAGTGAAAAATCCAAGTCTTTTCAGGTTTGCCAAATTTTTGTTTCAATAAAAGCAAATTTCACTTAAAGTACTTAAGGTACTTCATTTTGCATTTGAAACTTTGGTTTGATTAATAGATTGATATTTATTTTTCCTGATTCAGTTGTTGATACAAATTATGGACTTATCTTGTTGATTTGATTCCCAGAAATGTTGCGTTTTAATTTAAAGTTCAAGTTTAAACTGATTATCAAATGTTTTGAAAGGTTTGCTATTTCGGTTTCAGGTTTGATCAAATGCAAAGTTTGAACATTTTGTTACAAAACAAATGATCAAATTTCATCTTTCATTAAATTATTCAAATTTCGATGTTTTTTCAAGTTTCAACTTGAAGGTTGAAAAATAATGACATTCCCAGTAATTGTTGGAGAGCATGAAAAGATTAACTTTGAAATTGAAATGGATTCACAGGAAATTTGATGATTCTTTGACCTTTTCCATTATTGACCAGAACTAGAAATTTGATCATCAATTTCCTTCTTGTAACAGCAATGATAACCTAAAAATCTCAACGAATTACCAAATTATATCAAAAATAAGGGAAACTTCATTTTTACTTCACCATTCATAAACTTCATTTTGATTTCCTTTTTTTCTTTTCATTTTTTTTCTTCTTCTCTCATCATTTCATGTTGACCTGAAATTGATTTGATAGGGTCTTATAAAAAGGTCACACCTTTTCATTGAAGATTCATAACAGTCAAGCTTAGATATTGTTATTGAGGATGAAAAGTTTGAAACATGCACATCATAACTTTGGTTCACTGAAACAAACCATTTATATTCAATGTAAGGTTTCATTATTCAAACCCTTGAGACTTTAATCTGATGTACTTTTTTGATGTTTTTTTTCATTATATAATTTGATATTACAATGTTTTATCACAATTTTATATCACATTATTTGACCCAATAATTGATAGACCAAAATTCAGAGAGTTTAGATAAAAATTTTGTGTTTCCATTTTGATTAACTTTTTTTGCCTCTTTTCACGTTCATTACTTTTCCTTTCAACTTTATCACTTTTTTATTGTTATTTTACACTTTTTCAATGCTTTGAATATTGAAATATTTATTATCATGGTAATAATGAGGTGATAAACTGGGTTGACTCTAAAGGTATCATGAAAGTTGATGATGTAGGATGAAAATAATGGATGAAATTAAGGAGGATGAAATATAAAGGTGGTTACTATGGTTTTTAAGCTTGGCTGGATAACCATTATTTTAATCTTTATTGTCATGATTTATCAATATGTTTGTAGAGGAACAAGAATTTGCTTTATCATGAAATGTACTTTTAATCAATGACCATCACCAATTATCCATGAGCTCCAATTGAATGGCCGTTTCATGCTGTTTATGTTGTGAGTTATTACCATAATTAGCTGAAAGTTGAATGCTAATAGAGTTGAATAAAGAGTCTACTTTAATTGTTTTGAAACAATTTGAATATTTTAGTCTTGTTTAGCTAATGTCGCTTTTAAAGGAAATGTTAATTGTGTTAACCATTGAAAGAGTGACAAATGTGTTGCTTTTGTATTGACCTCTGGTTATGCTTTTGGTACTGACCATTTGAAGTAAGCATTTTAATAATTTTCAACTTTTTTCCTCCTTCTGTTTTTTTCAACTCTACTGATTCAGATGGACCATGTATAGTCTCAATAAACATTTATTTAAGAAGTATAAGTAAAATCAGTGATCTTGACATGGTAAGTTCATTTAATTTGCTAACTGTTAACCCTTCTAAAAATATGTTACCTTCTTGAGGTTAATGTAGTTATTTTTTTGTATAAAACATGGCTTCTGTTGCTCGATTAGGCGTCAGAATGTAAGCTTAAAACAAGTTCTTGGCATTTTAAGCCATGAAATTTTCGTTTCAAGTGTCAACACATTTATTTATTAATTGTTTACCAATTTAGCAATTATTAAAATGAAGTTTCTGTTAAAATAGCGCTAAAGGGCTAATCTCACGAAGTGTCAGAAGATAGGGTTGGGTCATGATGAGTAATGAAGTCTCTAGTTTCTTTATTTGTATTTGTCTTCAGTTTTCTTTGTTCTACATTTTTCTTTTGCTCTGTTTTATTAAATCTTTTGTTTCATTTTCGTTCACACTCTGTTTCAGGAATATTCAGTCCAGATAACCTTCAGGGAGGAATGGAAGGATTCACGACTAGTTTATCGAGATCCATCGGAAAAGATTCGTTATTTAACTTTGACTGATCCTGATCGTATCTGGAAGCCGGATGTTTTTTTCACCAATGAAAAGGAAGGACATTTTCACAATATCATTATGCCCAATGTTTTGTTACGTATTGGCTCAGATGGTGGTGTTTTGTATTCAATAAGGTTGTCATTAATATTATCCTGCCCAATGAATTTGAAATATTATCCACTGGATAAGCAAAATTGTTATATCAAAATGGCTAGCTGTAAGTAACAATTATTCAATACCTCTTTCCTCGTGTATCCTACTAACATTCATGTTGTAACACCCAACTAATGATATCCAAGTCAACCCAAAGTAAAAAGCGAATTTTCTCTTCTTTTATTATCAAAGGCTTTCAGTTTTACCTTCTGTATCTGGTCTTGATCGTCTTCATTCTCTTTCTTTTCCAGTGTCATGTTCATTTCACCAGCTTCTCTTCCATCATTACAATCTTCATCTCTTTTTTTGAGAACTTTGTATTGACAATTCTCCATTGGATTAGGATATTTCTTTTGCTTAAACATTGTGATTCAGTGTATGTCAAGGAAAAGCAGTCAAGTTGAGCTGAAATATTCATTTGCACCATTAAAAGTGTTTTCCTGAGGAGTAAAGGATACACAGGAAAGAGGATTCAAAATTGCTTTAAAGATAGCTGTTGTTTTAAATCTCATCATGAAATCATTGATTTAGTTGAACATTTTGGTTCACTTGATTCTGTAATATCGTCTTTGATAAATTACTTTCATAGCCTTTGCATTTACTGAATGACAATCTCAATGAACCTCCTACAATTACTTTGATTATTGATTAATCTGAGAGGTTAATGTTACAATGTTTTAATTTCACTAATGTAGGCTAGATCAATTATAATATAGGAATCTGATCTATTACAATCAACATGAATCAAGTTCATTTTCATTAATATCCAATGTTATTCATATTCATAGTTGCATTAACCATTTGATTTACCACCTTAAATGTCAACTAATGTTCTTCTTGTCTTTTTTTAATTTTATTTCTGTTCCTGTTTCTTGATATTGACCTGTTAACCTGGAAAAATAACATTTTTTGCTCTTCATCTACATGGCGGTTCTGATTTATTTATCTCTAAAGATGGTTATACTACTGAAGATTTGGTTTTCATGTGGAAAAAAACGGATCCTGTTCAGGTTACTAAGCAACTTCATCTTCCAACATTTGCTTTAGCTGATTATATTACTGAATATTGTACTTCACGAACAAATACAGGTAAATAAAGGCTGATAGTCTAGATGATCAACATCATTTTTATCAACCATTATTATTATCATTATAATTTTTTGTTGATTAACTTATGAACTTTAATTAACTAGAATGGTTGCCTCTTGTTTTCACTTTTCTTTCATCAAGTAAATAATAGACTTTGACAATTAGTTAATTAGTTTTCTCGTATACTTTGCTTTTTCTTGGTTTATTCTTGTCAACTGTTGAGTAAAACCCAAAAGCTATTGAGCTAAAATTATGCTAGAATTGATATTTAATTTGATTTAAATTGAAAAATTAATCAGTTAATATCGATAATCAAAATCTCCTCATCTTCATTTGATCAACAAAAGCAAAATCAACTAAAACTTAAAACATTTTTTTCTGATGATTTTTTTCTTTTCATTTCAGGTGAATACAGTTGTGTCCAAGTCAAATTAATATTTCGTCGTGAATTTAGTTACTATTTGATTCAAATATATATTCCCTGTATTATGCTTGTAATTGTCTCATGGGTTTCATTTTGGTTGGATCCAAATGCTATTCCTGCCCGGGTCAGTCTTGGTGTTACCACTTTACTCACAATGGCAACTCAAATATCCGGTATAAATGCCTCACTTCCACCGGTCAGTTACATTAAAGCCATTGATGTTTGGACCGGAGTCTGCCTTTTCTTTGTTTTTGGTGCCCTCCTAGAGTTTGCCCTTGTAAACTATGCGTCAAGAAGCGATGCTCATAGAGCAGCGCGTAAACGTCGCGCAGAAAATCAACAACAGCAAGTTCAACAGGTTCTTGGTGGTGGTGGATCAGCCTTTGGCTTCACTGGAGGTGGAGGAGGCGGGGGAGGTGGGGGTGGTCTTGGTAATATGGGTAATCCTGGTTACGGAATGACTGGTGGTGGTATGGGTTTCCCTCCTCCACCACCTAAATGGGATTCCAATCCATGGGAACCTCATCAACCTATGCCACCTCATCCAATGGATCCTCCACCTGCCACTAAATGGGAAGCTCGTGTAGACTTGAAACCCAGAGGATTTCAATATTCATCAGATAATTTCCATTCATCAAGAGCCTCATATGTAATGGTAAATGTTATTTTTTTTGTTCGACAGTTTTTTTCTTCTTCTTTTATTACCTTTTCTTGCTCAATTTTGAATAGTAAACAGATAAATTGAAAGTCTTGTCAGGTTTTTAACAATCATTCAACGAGTTCCTTTCTTCATTCTTCCCTTATCATCATCATTATTCTTTGTCTTGTTTCTACTTAATGTGCTGTAGCCAAATTATTATGCTTACTTCGCAGGTTTCTTCTTTTTTTATCTCTTGGGAAGTGAAGATGGAATTGAAAAAGGTCTTTGTTGAGTTGATAGTTCCATTCAAACTGGAGACAAGCTTCATACTACTTCATCCTCCTCACTCCCACTCTCACTCCCTCTCTCTAACACATTTGCTCTCTTGCCTTTCACTTGCTTTTATCTGCAACTCTTTTTCATTTATATCTTTTATCTTCTTCATCTTTCTTTTCTCTTCTCCAACTTACTCTCTCCCTTTTCGTTTTTTTATCTTTTGCTTCATCACGCCAAGGATGAAGATGAGATTCATCTTCACTGATTAGGTCAACCCAATAAGTAGGCTAAACATATGAAGCCCATGCGTATCTCTTTTCCCTTTATTCATTTTCTCTGATCCCCCTTTCACCTCCTACTCCTCCTCCTTACAGATCTTTTATCGATATCTCATCTTTTCAAGTTTATCTTGTATCCAACCCCATGAGTTTTCCTGATTTTTTTGTTCAACTTTCATCTTATTCATTTCATTTTTCCAATCTCATGACAAGTAGAGTCAATTCACTTTTAACGAAAACGCCATCTAACGAGTTATATCAAGAATTTTCCATTTAAAGACTTAAATATCATGATTCAGTCATGTTTCTTAAACATGGTTGGAAAAAAGTTTCCTGATTCTCTTGAATGAAAAATTTAATTTTTCGTATTGGTATATCAATCAAAAATTGTTGTATAACAACTGACTAGATGGCGCTAATTTCCCATCAATTGCAAATCCTCTTTAGGCGCCATCTATTGTGGCAATTAACTCTTGATTAGTCGATTAACTTTTTAGACAAAAAGTAACAGAAATGATTGAGATTGGTAATCAAAATTTTCCGATACTCAGTTGATATTGTTGAAATAGACTTTCCAAATCGAACGAACTTTCCTCGCCTATAAATACATCAGATATCTTATGAGAAATCAACTGTTTACTGTCAATGAATAACTTTTATCCACGAAATTTAATCGTTTTTTATTTCTCTTATTTTATTACAGAAACCTGTATTACGAGGACCTCAACCAAATCCACCTCCAGCAAATAATAAATTCCATCAAGTTGAAGTTCGCACTGCCCCTTATAATCAAAATTGTTTAACGCGTTGGTTTGCAGCATTTCAAACACGCTCCAAACGTATTGACGTTTTGGCTCGTATTTTGTTTCCCCTGATGTTTAGTCTATTTAACGTTGTTTATTGGATAACTTATGTGGTGATTTTGGGTTAACTCCTTTAATTATTGGATCCAATTTATCGGCCAAAAGATACTTCACACATGATGGTTGATTGAAATAGCCAAATAACAAGAATCAAACGTGTAAACAAAATTTAAAGCCAATACCATAATCAAGCTTATGGTCGTATATAATGTGTTTATATAATTGTTACTAAACAGCTCAATACAAATCAAAGAATGATACTTCTTCACAATACTTACAGATTGATAAATACAGGACGGTCATTGCTACCACCTTCATTATCATCATCATCCTCATCATCATCACCATCTTCATAACAATCATCGAGGGAAAGTGTTATAAAATGGACACATAATTGCATTTCATTTTTTTGTTAATAACATTATTAAGGTTCAAACAAGCAACGATCCAGAACCAATCATCATCATCATCACCTTGATTCTCATTCTCATTTGATCAACATCATCAACAACATGAAAAAGCAAGATCAATTTATTGTAACTAGATTAACAACAAACGAACCATTTAATTGACAATCTAAAAAGAGGATATAATGAAAGGAGATTAAGAAATAACTAATCAGTGTTAATCACGCTGAGAACAGAAATTAACAAAAATCAGAATCAGAAAGCAAGTGAAAAGTTTCACTTGAAAAGAAAAATTAAAGCTTAATTAGACAACAAGTTAATCAATTTACCTATCATCACCATTATCATGATAAATTTTTTGGTGCCAACAAAAGCAACAACAACTCTGGCAAAATAACAAAATTTTAAAATCACCCAACGTTGGACAACGAAATGTTTTAATTATAAAAAATATATATATACAATTAATTAATAAAATGTTATTATCATTTGATAAAGAAAAAACTAATAAATAAAATAGTTAAATCAAACCAATTCAATTTAAATGAATGAAGATGATGTTAACCCGTCCTCACTTCAACACAATCAAGACATCAAACATGAAGACATTTGTATATTTAAAATGCTCAATGATAAAACAAAACTGTAAACCTGTAAACAGTTGATTAACTGTGAATTAATCAAGGGTATGCATTGACCATCGACCGTCCTTACCTTAAGTGTGCAATGTTTCAACTTGCATCAGAAAACTAGAAACATTCAAAAGTACGATGAATTGATTGTTGAGCCAATTAATTCTGATTTTAAATATTTAACATCAGTTGACAGCAATTCAAAGATGTAAAATGAGAAATAACTCATAGCTAACACAATCATAATTCACATCATCATCATGTTAATTAATCTTCATCGCATCATTTATCTCTTTTCCAGTTTCAACTCTAAGCCAATTTGAAATATAATTTGACTCTGAATTGATAATTTAAATTTGTAAATATTTACTAATTACAAATCTCAAGGCAAGAAGTAATGACAACAAATGTTTCAATCATTTTCTCATGTGTCCTAAGCTAATTATGTAAATCTATCCGTCAACCAATTGTTTTTCACATTATTGTTGATTGTTTATCCACTTTTAGGTTAATTATATAAGCAAATAACATTCCCGATTGTGATAAGTTGTCCTTAAATCATTCATTTTAATTGTTTCATTTGCCAAAGTAGTCTAAACGGAAAAATTTGAGAGGAAAACAAAAGAAACAATTTAATGTGAGAAAGGTTAATTTAAATATTTATAAATACTTACAATAATACAAATGAATTATATTTGAAACGTTTGTTAATCCATCTTAATCATCATCATCGTCATTAACATCTTCTGATTTTGTTGCACTTTTTAGGTGGGCCACAATTAATTGTAATACAGTAAATACACATGAAATTTATCATTTGTTTCGTTTTTTCATTGGAAACAAACAATCAAATTTAATCGTGAAATAATGATGAAGATTAAAATGAAAGCATCTTTTAAACAGTCTAATTGTTTCCTTTCCCTGGCGCAGCAATATTGTCTCAATCAAATTGTCATCAACTAACAGGTTTAACCAGAAATATGCAAATTTGGTAGATCATCCGTTATTTAAATCATCAATTTGTGTTGATTATTAGACTTGATCCATCAATTTTGACTGCAACCATCTTCATAATCTATATTTGTAAAGAGAAAAGAAAATTGTTCAATTAATTTTAATTGTTTTGCTTATAAAATTTCTCAAAAGACTTAATTGAAACAGTTATTAACATTTAATTGAATCGGCAAATTAAGAAGTAAAAATTTTAAATTGTTGTAACAGTTGTAAAGTAACTCCATCTACATTTGTAAGTTTAAATAAGAGGTTCAAATCTAATGAAAAACATTGTCGGTCTTCAACAGATTCAAGTTAAACCTTACAATTGAACATGATTTGTTCAATACAATCAACAGGATTCAAAGGCCAACAGTTTTTCTAGGAATTAATTACAATTATCATTACAAGCTTTTTCAAGAAAGTATTAAATGACAAATAAACTCATGTTACATGATCATTGATCAGTTTGTTAACTTGTTATTTTTGTGTTATTAAATCTGATCCAAGATGTTGTCTTATAATTCACCCTTGAGCAAATGGAAACAATTCATTATTTTCTTGTTTCCTTTATTATTATATTTAATATAATTCATTATTTGACTCACAACAAATCGGAAATTACTTTTTTACCAATGTTTCCTATTTCCGTTAATAATAATGGTGAATACTTGTCGTCTAGATTTAAACAATAACAACAATGTTTCTTCTCAATGTTGAAGTTAACCAGAAAACTTCAAACCAAACACACAACTCAATAAGATTCACACATTAACAGCAATCGCAATTGTCTTTACTTGAGCTGTCCATTTCAATAAACACTTTAACTTGTCATCTAAATGTTAATTGAAGAAATCTGTATCTCCTTTTGCCTAATGAATGCCTTTTAACAGTAATCAACTTAACCTCACCAAATAACACGAAATCTTTTTACATGCACACATTTTAGGTCAAGTTATGGTCAGAAAGATGGTTTTACTTTGTATCAAAAAATAACTATAGTCAGGAATGACAGCTTATTAATTAATACGTAACCAATTAAACAATAACCAGAATTTTGAAAGGTTAAAAAAATGATTTCTGCCAACATTCATGAAAAGTGTAAATCATAACTGTAACATGAATTACTCGAATGTGAGAAAAACTGACCTTAATGAATTGTATTTTTTTCTGAGAGATCTAAGTGTAAAAATTATAATTATACCGATTAAAATTGACAGTAAAAAATTGATAAACTTACGTTGCAATTAAGACTCTAAAAGTGGATAAAAATTGTTCAACTGGTCGGACATGTTGGTAAACAAATATTAAACTGGTTGAGATGACCATAAAAGCAAAACCAGAAATAATGTCCCAATCAATATCATCGAAATTGGAACTCATTGACTGACCAATCTAGTAGCAAATAGATATAATGGAACCAAATTACCTAAAAATTTATCCAAAACACAGCATAAAAGGCCAAAAGATGAGTTGAATATCGCTTGAAGACTTGAGATTAAAAATCCGTGAAAAACAAAACCTCACCTTTTTAAATTGCTGTTGATATTGATGTTATTAGAGTTGGTGGTAATCCTAAAGATTTACTCCTGGTTTGATTGATTTCTTAAATGGTTAATCCATTTATCACAATTACATACTATTAGTATTGAATTAACAACCGAAAAAGTGTTGACACTTGGCAATACAAAATAAATAACAGATGAAAAGCTAAGGGATCGGTTAGTAAGAAAAAGCTGAAGCAAAGTTTTCTCTTCTGACTTTGTTGCACATTTTAGTGAACGACTAGAAACAAGTGAATTTATCGGCTAGTTAATCATTTCAAGTTTTCTTTTTTTATTATGTTGTTTTTTATTCTCTCTCAACCTTCCAATATCCAGCATTTCCTCTTTTCGTCTTCCTCATCACTCATTATCGTAAAAAAAGCCCAAGATTTCAAGGAGAAAGTGAAAATCTAAAGAAAGTTACACTTACCTTCTGACTTTATTTTAACGTTTTTTTCAGCCAACCAAAAAAATGAATTCAAGTTTACCAGCTTTCTAATCAAGGCTAATTCAATATAATAATCATCACCCTTCTCAAGGAAACAACAGTAAGTACATTTGATTGTCTCACCAGTTTGTTTCAAAGTAATTCTTGAGTTTCTTCTCAAATTTTGTAACAACCTTACCTTCAACAGAGGTGCAGGACCTTGCTTAATGACAATGGATTTCATTATCATCTTTACCAGCTACTGGTTTCTATCAATTCATTCAATTGTTCCGGTTAGTAATCAACAAAACATGAAGAAATAGAAATAAGATTTTGATAAGTTTATTTAGATTATAATCACCTTTTACATTGAAATGTATGGTTTGCATATCATAAGGTTAAGTTTGGACATAAACAACATCAATGGAAAAGGAGAACAAGAAATTACTGAGAGCTCAGCAACAAACTAAAATGTCCATGATATTAGCCCATTGGCTAATAACTTGCTTTTTTATTGCACACAGCCGGCAACATTCATTGATCATCAATTCATGTAAATTGAGATGCATCTGAATTTCAATTGAGATTCAAATTACCGATCATTAACACAAGATGTAATGATTAGGGTAAAATGTAGATTAAGTGTAAAAACAATGAGAAATGTTGATATGTTAGAGACTTGTAAAATAGGCATATAAGAATAGATTAATATTGTAGTTAAGCCTACTGTATTTGAAAAAAATGATTAAGATGATTGTGACAATTTAAAATGTAACTGTTGATTGGTTGACATTGTTAACCTCATCTTTATTACTATTAACATCGTAATTTGATGGTAAATGTTCAACTCGAGATAACTTGAAACAAGTCAAAGGTGTTAATGAATCAACCAAATTGTTTAACCTTTTGTTTTCTTCCCGTAGATTAACCAGCTGTTTACCCAATTTACCGATTAACTCACGCAACTCTTCAATTTGATCTTCAGTGGACAACAATTCTAAACGCAAATCGGTTAACAATTTATCCTTCTCAACCAATTGTCTTGAAAGTAAATCAATTTCCCCGGAACCAGAGATTGTATCGACTTCTGTTGAACCATAGATTGACTCAAGTGGAGGACGTTTCATCATAAATTTAGGTGTACACGGAGCTGATTGTGATTGCACATTAATTAATGGTGGCAGTGGATCAATTGCTTTATTATTTGCATTATTAGTGATGACTTCTTGTGGTTGATGAAGAAAATGACGAGGTGAAGACAAATTGATTCCTAAATGATCCCAATCATTGTTACCATTATTGTCAATGGAACCATTTATAGTTGTTGGCAGTTTGGTTCGATCACCATTTTTGCTGGTCAATTGTGCATTTATTGACAAATCAACAGATCCATTCCAGGACAATTTACTATCATTTATTTTGGATCGAATTAACACTGGAATTAATTGTCGTCTTAACCATCCTTGAAATGATGGATAAGCAGTAGATGAAGATGAAGATGATTTGTTATTTGAATGGATCGATGGCGATGAACTTGATGATGATTTAATTTCACCATAAGAATCAACTGTCTCAAGAAGATTATACTTATCACCTGTTAAAATGATTGGCATAGCGAATTCAATGAATTACAATTTTGAACACAAACACTAAATTTAACAAGAATGATGGACAAACTCAGGACAAAAGGATTGCAAGTTACATTTTGATTACCATTGGAACAACAATTGAAACTTTTTTCTTTCGTTTCATGTTAATCAATGGATAACCCTTAAAATAATGGCAATGATGATGATTTAATAATGGAATCCATTGAATAGCTTGTGGTAAAACTTCATGATGGTGATGACAGGGGAAAAGTTTGTTGAAATGATTAGAATACTTTTACTTTTTAATCTTTCTTCCTTAACCAATATAATAGGTGATGATGTTACACCGCTTAAGGCAACATTTGACAAAATAATTGTGTGAATTACAGACACACTCACACACAACACACACAAGAACTGAACACCACACAGAATTGGAAATGATGATAATGATGAAGATGATAAAATGATGTTTTGTTACTTTCTATAACCCTGTAAACCGTAAGGTGGCGTTGAACCTTGCCACTGTTAACCACCATAGGAGTGTAAAACTGGCAAAATTATTGAATGGCTGAAGGAGGATAAAGTTGAGTTGATTTTTTTACCCAAGGAATATCCCTTCTTACTCATTCACAGCCACCAACAACCTCTGACTTTATTTCAAGGTTGACTCATACTGAAGAGTCTTTTAACTCGAAATGGTTTATTGCTTTTTCTTGGAGATTCCTTCACATTGAATGAGTAATAAGAAGATGAGGATGATGGTGGCGGTGGAGAGGAGGAAAAAGGAGGAGGCATGGAATAAGGAATTGTTGTAATTGGTATTGAGTATGAGTAATAATAACGATAACAGTGAACAGAGGAATAACATTTAGCCTAAACCATTCATTTTGCTACTTTTTTTGTTTACTCATTTACTTCCAATCAAAGTAAACAATCAGCCTTTTCAATGGCAATTGTTATGATAATTGTTATTATAATTCAATAATTGCTCATTTTAAGGGTTCCAAATGGTTTCTAAAACGTTTTTCAAATGTTCTTTCAAATGGACATTTTGGTTTTGGCTTTTATTTTTCTCATTATTTTTTGATTCTCTTCATTTTCTAGGTCCTAGATTTTTCTGTTAATATTTGCCTGGTTTGCTTGATTTGAGACAATTTTCTGGTTTAGTGTTGCTGAATTAACTTTGGTATCTTATTCAGTTAATCTTGTCATTGCTATTTCCCCATGAGATTTCATGACAAATCTCATGTACAATCACATTCTTGATGAGTAAGTTACTTTTTTATCATTATTATATCACTTCCTTTCACTTCAACTTCATTTATTTTTTCATCTTCATCAACCTTTCTTTTTTTTGACTCTTCATTTCCTTCCTGTAAAGGGATGAAGATGATCAAAATGAATCTTTCAGAATTTGCTGTTTCATGAATGAATTCCGAGTGTGCATGGGAAAATAATGATAACAAGGAGACATTTACAAGATGATGATTTAATAAGAGCACTAAGTTTGGACAGGCTCAAGTTAAAATACAATTTGACTTTGACTTCTTCATCCTCATCACTTTTGATCCTTTAATCTTGGTCAACCAGAAGGACTGATCAGCTGAATGAAACATAAATACTACAGTTAATTGGTTAAATTACAATCACAATTCACATGCAATAATGAAAAGATGAAAGGATGGCAAAGATGAAGATGAAGATGGCAAAAAGGAAAAGGAAAATGGAAGGAATAAAACATAAAAAGATTAGCCCAGTTTTACTTGATATTATAATCAATACTATTCTGGCAAGATTAAGTCTCAATCTTATGATGAGTATCTTAATCGTCAAAATGAAAAAGATTCAGGTTATTGTATTGATCAAAAACTAAAAGTAACATTTAAATAAATGTCAAAGTAAATCCTTAATCAGTACCAAAAGAAGCGCAGTTAATCGGATGATCATCTTTTCAAAAAAAGCTGGCAAAGTATTTCTCATTGTTCTCATGTTGGTCTCATCAAAGCTAATATCTCGGATCCAAGCTGAAATTAAAGTTAATCAAAACTCTGACATCTCTCCATCATCATCAACATCGAGATCATTTTCATTATAATCAAGAGATATACAGATTTAGATAATCAATTGTGAAACCTTGAAAAGAGTCTGTGATTTGAATGAAATTTTGAAATATTATAATCAACAAATTGACGGTTAACCGTTTCAGCACTTTGATGATATAATTTGAGTATCAACCTCAAAAATTCAGCCTATTTTTTGTGGTCTATAACAATCTCGCCTCTCCTGGTTGCTTTGTGTGATCTGGTTAATCATTCAAAAAACATGGCTTCCAATGGTTTTCCAGTTTTTTACCAGTTCTTAGATTTTTCAACTCAAACAATTATTATTAAGTTTATTTGTCAACTGTAATAATAATAATGATAAACAGAGATGGGTTTGCTCATCTATCCATGATAAAACCATGCGATTACAAGATGTAATTCAGTGTAAAGAAGAGGTTTTTGAGAAAAGCTTTCTCATATTGAAGGGTAACATAGGGAACAGTGAAGAGGAAGATATGAAGAGATTATCAGTTAACATGGTTCAGTTGATTTTATTTTTCTAATATTATATTGAAGTTTACAGTTGAACTGAATGAAAACAATATGGTTGTTGGTTGTTAAAAGGTAAATCAGTTTGATTTGACTTTGAACTGAAAGCAAAAGTGTTGGTGAAAAAATACATTTTTAGCCGTTCTCGGTTGAACTTTAGGAAATTTACTTTGCCAAGGTAAAAGTTAACTCATTAAAGATTCACCATTATTGGCGATCTCAATTTAGATCGCGCGTAAATTGGTTTAGTTTTTAAATTGTAAAAATTAAGTAAAGCAAACTTGAAAACAGCTTTTGTTTTTACTTATTTTTGATGTTACTCTCCATAAATCACTGTTAAAATTGGCAACAAATATTGTTTTTACTATTCAACTTGTCTTGTATTGATTTTCAATTGCATTTAAAAATAAAACGCCATCAACTACAATTAAAATAATAAATTTAATTTTATTGACTTGTAATTTTAATTTGAGCGCTCAAAGCAAGAAAGACCGCGTAAAACTTGCAGCCAGTCAGTGACCAGTCACTGAGTGTATGCACAGACTAAATTTACTTGTTTATTAGATTGTTGTTATTTACTTGATTCAAGTTTAATAAAATGTACTAATAAATAATCCAATATTGACCTGAAGTGAATGGTCAATTGACAATGCAGACAACCTAACCTTACCAACGTTAACAATTTAATCAACATATCAACGCAAATTTGGCTATTTTCAACTATGCAACTAACCAACATCTTTTATGCTTTCCTTCAGTTTTACTTTTTTCAATCGTGTTTTGTGATTAAACAGGCCTCTCCAAGTGAAAGTTGCCTTTAATTTGTTATTAATAAACCTTAAATTTATAATCATCATGTTAATCAATAAAGGTAATTAAGTAAACAAAGCTAATAGTGTTACAATCAAATGCCTTGAAGCTTTTCTTAAATCGTATTCTCTACTGTAAAAGTGAAGTCTTTTTTGCTACTTTCAACATTTTTTTCCGACTCCTTATTTACGTTGATTGTCTTGTTAACCATTTTTGGGTCCAATAATAACAATTATTTTAATGATGATTATAATAGTATCAATAGCTTTTACATCCTGCAATATGATTGTAATGTCAATTAAGAGATTTGATGTTTTTTTCTCACTTTTACGCTAATTTTTTGTTTTTATTTTCGCATTTTTTCTCCTTTAATTCATCTTCTCACGCAGTTGTGTATCATCCATTAACAACCAAACCAATTATTATTATATTAATAATTAAGGTTTAAACAACAGTTGAAAGTTATCATATACAGACGATCAATTAATATAAATAACGTGGATATAAAAATATAATCAAAAAGGACGGAGATCAAGCGAAGTAAGTAAATCAAAATTCACTTGTTTAGTTGTTTGAATTACCAGATTATTTATTTCATTTTTTTCATATCAGCTGTGATTAACACTGGACCGATTGTAACTGAACAAAGCCATAAATGACCAATGAACTAACCTTAAATCCCGTGGACTGAATACTTACCAGAAGATAAGTTGGCCATTCAGGACTATTGAAAGATATTCAAGCTGCAAACCCAATTGGCTTCAAGGGCTTTCATTAATGTCCAATCAAACAATTATATACGGATTGTATTACCAACTGACCCTGTTGAATGAACAAAATTCATAAGTGTTAAAATATATAGTTGAGAGTTACTGTTATGATTATTACATATCAGTTGATGAGGATGAAGATGAATATGATTAGATTTGGGTTTCATTTTAAGGTTTGTTATCAACAACATTAAACATTTCACACTCCCATTTTTATTGAGAGAGGAAATCTTAATGAATGAATGAAAATGATTATACATCTAATAATGGATAAGCCATTTTAATATTAGGATTTACCGTTTAACATTATGAGGTCAATATAGTTTATGGTTAACAAATCGATTTCTTCGTGTTCAAAAAGAGTACAACAGCAAAAGACAATCAGATTGTGTTGAGATACATAATAATGATTAATTTATTATCATTTAATCTTCACCACCTTCACCATTCCCAATCATCATTATGTATCATCAAGGTTTCCCTTTTAATACGAGTTTGTTGCTTTTTTGTTTATCTTTTCACCATTTTCATCCCTCATCTCTCGTCTTTCATTTTTCATCATTCATCTTTCATTTTCAACTTTCATCAATCCTCTTTCATTGTCATCATTTGTTTTTATTATCCGCTTTTTTTCATTGATCATCATCACTATCATCATTAACCGTACATTTAATTTTGTCATCATGTTACAGACTCAACAAGATTGTATTAAGATGAAACAAGATGACGATGTTTAAGGTCCTGTTTAAGGTCAATCTTTAAATTGATATCAAGCTCATCTTAACTTTAATTATTGGATAATTTTTGGACATGAAAAACAACAACAAAAACAACTGCTCAACAATTCAAAAAGGGTTATTGGTCGATGAACAAAAAAGAAACATCAAAAGCCTGACTTTGCTGCTCCAAAACCTAAAGACACTTAAACCTTGTCTACAGAAACTTCAACTTGACCAACAGCAAAAATTTTATAAAGCAATTTAAGTTGAAATAATTATAAATGTTGATCATGAGGTTTATGAGTAAATAATGAAAATCAATTGTTTATCTTGATTATCAGGCCCACATAGTAACGGAAAACCAAATATACCTAATTTCATCTTTTTGCACCCAACGTCCATTTATATTATCATTACATCATGTCCGTTGGCTTATGCTTCAGGCTTTAATCACGATGGGCATGAAGATGAAGAGGATGATGATTGACTTGATCATCATCATCATCATCCTGGCCGTCTCTCTATGAGAGTCGGTCTTTTCTGGGTCGCTGATCTTGAACGGGAGTTGAAGATGAAGATGAAAGAGAGTGAGACTTGAAATGGCGTTGTGCCTTTACTAAATGAGTAGCAAAAAATATATATATAATAAACATAACTCCCGGACTTGATCATCATTATTATCATTACTTGTTTCTAGCCCTCTCTCTCACTCACTGACTCACTGACTCTCTATTCATCTCTCTTGGATGAGTATAACGGTGCTCTAAAAGTGCTCTTGGTCATCATCATCATCACCACCAACGACAACAATCAGTTGAAACAACATCAAATTCAAGTTTGTAGTTGTTCAAGACAACGTTCGGACACTTATACCGAGTTAAACAGTGAATCAAGTCGCGTCTCTACAATCAACCAGGATATTCGCCATTTGACAATTGTTTAATGACTACCAATTAATTGTTAGATCATTGTTAACCACCATTGTTACTTATGTGTTGATAAACAATCGCAGGCCTTCAACTCTCGCCCTCTCTGTTACACCATTAGATGTCTTACGCTTGAACGGCATCAAAGAAAACAAATTTTTTGTTGTTTTTGATCATATTTTTGTTAATTGTCACCATTTTAATCATCAATAATTTTCAATCCATCACATGAATCAATTAAAATGATACTAGCCAGGATAACTCTAATAACCCTTGGATTAATCATTCAAAGTAAGTCTTGTTTTTTACTCCAACTCTTATCAAACTCCTAACAGATGAAAATGGTTGCTTTACCAAAATAATTAACAAAAACATCAAGTCACAATTCAATTTACTTTTACGTAACAAATTGTTAACTGATTTTATATTTAGAAACTTTCTAATTCCGTGTTTCACCAACAATTAGCCAGAAATGTTAAAATTGAAATTTAATGAAATTCCATGCAAAATATTTCATTCAATGTTAAACGTAATGAGAAAGTAAAATGCGTTTCTATACTAACGTGAATTTCGTGATCTTTTACCTTGCATTATTAAATGAAAGTAACATTATTAACTTGATAATGATGCTGATAATGAGGTACGGTGACAGTTGGCCATTCTGTATGATTAAGGAGATGAAAGCAAAATCCTTAAGAAACTGACCGTTCCACTGAACCTACAAGTCTACATGTGAACCTAAGCCGGCAAGGTTCTAGGTCATGAAAATGCCGTAATTTTAGGTTGTTAACGGCAACGATGATGCAAATAGTTATGATGATGAAGAGGATGGTAAAAATAAGGATGAAGAAAACGTTGATTGAGAATTCAATTCCGACCAATTGATTTCTTACCTTAAACTTATTTTAAACTCTATGCCTTACGGCCTTCTCATATCATGAGAGTAATAATGATTTTTATATTTACCTTTTCATAAATATTTGATGAAATATGAATTACATATTTAATCAAAACCAGATCATTTCAGTTTTTCATTTACAATCTAAATTGTTGACTGCACTTCCATTGAGACAATTTGCTGATTTATTTTGCAATTTTGTTTCATCTTCTAGTTTTCATTTCAAGAATAGATTTCATGATTAAAGCAACAACAAAAAAACAATTACAATCAAAATAGATTACATTCCTATTTGGATCTAAAAATTCAATTCAATTTGCTTTTTTCATCAACTTTTTTTGTTATGTTTCCATTTGATGAGCTTTCCATTGTTGCTAATTGTTAACATTAACTGTTGACAATTGTGACTCGAAATTTGTTCATTTTGATTGTCAACAATTTAAACAAATTGACCCAATAAAAGTGTTCCTAAAAAGGATGAACTTCAAATTTCGAGTCAAATTGTTGTTCGATTGATCAAAATTTTCTCTATTTCAAGATCGAATCAATTTCATCTGATATTGTTGATTAACCAAACCAATTCACCAATTCTAATCACTTTCTTTATCGTCTCTAAACTGTGCTTAGTTAACTGTTAAAGCAATTTCAAAATAGTTGCAATTTGTCGATTTAACCATTTGATTATAAATATTTTAAACTTTCACTTGAAAAATGGCATCAAAAAGAAGTAAAATAATCAATTTTAATGTTTAATTTAAATTTTTGCTGCTTTCCATTTTCCAAGTTAAATTGTTGTTTGATTAAACTGCAATTAGTATTATCATTCAAATTCATTGAGCAACAAACCAATCCCTTAATATTAACGTTGAAAGTTTGCCTGAAGATGAACAAGAAAAGATGATCATTTTGTTTTCCCATTTTTTCCGAGTTAATTGCTCAAAATTTGTCAGCTAAATTGTCTCATCAATTTGGGTCATTTAAATGGATTGGAGATTTTTACATAAACTGACTCATTTAATTGACCGTTTAATTGTCAGTATTAAAAGCTATTGGACAGGAAAAATGATCAATCGCCGCTTGGTTTTTGCTCTTCAACTTGCATTGTTGCTTCCTTTTAATTATATTCAAGCCAGTTAATTTGCATTCAAATTAACAATTAAATTGTTCTACTGTCCATGATTAAAACTCTCATCATCCCAATGGGTAAATCAATTTCACCATTTACTTTGGTTTTTTTCCTGGTTAAAGTCATTTCAATTAGATTCGTTTTGATTGTTCAAGATTTGCTTTTTCAATCTGATTGTCACAATAATCATATTAGAGGTTGATTGTTGTTATTGAAAAATTACAAGTAAATTGAATGTTGACCCAAACAGGTCATTGTATATTAAATTGTTGACTTTAATGGCCATTTATGGTTTAATATTCAAATAATCATAATGATCATTACATTTAGTTATTGTTAAAAAGTACAATCAAGAATAAATTAACTGGTTTAACATCACGATGTATTACATTGTATTGTAAGATGAACCTTTTTTTGCCATCAAATTGTTATTTCTTTTAATAGAATGGTTGTAAAATTAAATTTAATTGAAAACAATTTGTCCCATTGTTGACCATTTGCAAATTTAATCAGTTAAAGTGTTTAACCGTTTCTAATGGATTACATGGGAATTGATTAAGATGGTGAAGAAAAGGTGAAAAGACAATTGAAAATCAATTTGATTGAAGTTACGAGTAAATAAGGGCTGAGGTGAAGGATTAATTTACTTTATCATGATTTAGATTTGGGCTGTTTTCATATGCTACTCAATGCTTTTAGAGTTGAATTGGCATTTATTGATCAGTGAAGGGTCGATGAAGAGGAATGATGTTGGAAGATGTTGAATCAATTTCAGGGTTAAATGGATGTAACAAGCTGAACAAAATGGGAAAATGTTGTTGATTCCTATCCATAATCATCATGACAAAAGGTTGAAGATGAGAAATATTTTTATATCAAAGTGTTTTACAGCTTTTGCTGTTGAAAATGTCAATTCTTGATGATGATTGTGATTCAGCTTTCATTAGATTGTATAAGGTTAACACATGGAAGACATTTGGGAGGACAAAAGATGACTACATCTCTTGCCTTTACCCTTAACCATTTTCATCTTCCGATGAATCATTCAACCTCTTTTGACGATCAATATTTTTGAAGATCAGAGTCGACTAAGGCTTGCATTTTACTTTTTTAATACTGTCATTAACATTGAATTGTTAGTTTAATAATTCATGTTGATAAAAAATTAATTTTGATCGACAAAAACTGATTAAAATGAAATTAAATTGAACATTTGAACTTGCCGCGTACAAAGAAGCCTTTAGCCTTTAGGTTTTTTATCAGCTGTTATTGGCTTTTTTTGCTAATCAATTCTGATTGATAATTCATTTTTATTGATCATCTTCATTCAATTTTTGATTATAAGTTTGTGTGTTTGGTTAATTCATTGATTAACGGTCATCTAATAACTGGATTAGGTTACTGTGAATCATCGATGTCGATGGTTTTGATTAAACCTTTGTTTGGTTTTTTGTGTCTACTCAAGTCTTTTTTGGTTTGCTTCTCAATTATAAAATCAATTTTATGTCTAATCAATCAATTTTAACCAAAGATATTTTGCTCAGCTTGTTGTGATCATCATCATTCTCATCTCTATCGTTGAATTCATCATGTATCATCAATTCTGATTGCTCATTTCTTTCAATTTCAATCGCTATTTCAATTCCATTTCAACTCAAAGTGAAAACTATTCAATCATTATTAGCCATTCTTTTATTGATTAGTTGATCGATTATGCTTACAAACACATTAGACACAATATCTTAACCATTCTCATAATTAATATAAGCTTTTTAGATTGCGTGCTAAAATTTACACTTTAAAACGGAATAATAACCTTTTTTAGTTATTCTCATAATTTATTGTATCCCATCGTCTACTTTTTGCTTCATGATTTTGTTGGAGGGAAAAGTGGATAACCTTAAATCAAGGTGTAATTGCTGATATTAGGTGAAAAAACATTGATAATGAGTCGGGTACAAGTTTGTCTCAATATTATTGAAATATTGTTGGCTTGATAAAGCAATCGCTTTATATTATTACTGACCAAAAATCGCAAATGGCTTAATATCATATATTACTATTGATTGTTATTGGAAATAATTTCGTTAAATAGGTTTGTATGTTGAAAATACTTCACGATTTGACCTTTATCAACAATAATCAGATGATAATAATAGTCATGAAAAATAATCACATTGACAGTGATATGTTTGTTTATTTCATGGTCCCTTTGTTGTTGGAGGCTTGTCATTAGGTGAATCTTATTTCACGATGGTCAATATTTACCATTCATAATGGTCATAATTTTAAATATGATAATGTAAGGCACTGATGATGATCGATAATTGTTTCAAATGGAGAATAAGATGAATGCCTGAAGATGAATGAACCAGAAGATGAGAGTGATGATAAAAAAAGCTGATGAAAGGTAAAAGGTTGTCAGTTACACATTCATCTGACCAGTCAATAAATCAATTCAGGTTTTACCAATAATAACAATAACAAGTTTATGCTCGTGCTGATTTTATCTTTTCATCATATTTTTTTTCTTCGTTGTAAATGAAGATGAAAATATGATGGCCAGAAAAGATCGGGAGAGAGCAAGAAGTCATCTTTTTTCATCTTTGGTTTCCTTTTGTGTTCCCTTTTGCTTTATCCAAGATCAGGGTCAATTGATGTACCATGTATAACCCACATATAAATATACATATTATATTTACGGTGTTGATTTGAAAAGTTATTGCCAATTGATTGTCAGTTAAAGTCAAGATGATGATGATGATGATTCTAGAAGAATAAGAAGATAATAATTATAATCTCAATAATAATGGGCAAGGTGAGATGAGAAAGAAAAAGTTATTTTTATAAGCAACGCACAAATAACAGTGAGTTTAGTTCCGCTAACAACGTTGGATTGTTAATAAACAAGCTTTTTCTTACACTTAAACCATGATGACTAGTTTGACTTGTGAGAATGATGATGATGGTGATTATAAAATAAAGGTATCAAAATATATTGACATAAATATCGACAAGAAATTGATTTGTTAATAAAAAAAAACAATTACTTTACACAAACACAGAAGAAAGGATTGAATGGATAGGAGAAAGCATGGGAAGCCATTTTTTGCCTTCCATCCGATGAAGGAAAGGATTTAACTGTTGGACGTAAAGTGATTTCAACTTTAGATTAAATATAAATTTAGATTGCATTCATTAATCATTAATTGAACTTATAATTATCATTAATTAATGATTACTCACGATTAAATGATTATTTTAACACATCAACAGAAGGAAAAGTAAAAATCAAGCCGAATGATGACTCCCAAAGCTAAAGGTATAAAGGGCATCAAACTGGCATAGCCAGCTGACCAGTGAAAACTGTATTAAGAAGGTATAATTGTCATAATTTGTCTTTGATTGCTTGATTACTTTTCTCGTGTGAGAAATCAGAAAATAAAATCAAAAATACTTTCATTAATGGTTAACATATTGTTAAAATGTTTAAAATTGCTAAAAATAAATTTACTAAATGGTCATATTACCGATTGTAATTATCACAATTTCCCTTTCTCAATCAATCAACTGATGCTGATTGTCGTTGAGCAGGTCTTCATTTGAGTTTTTTGCCTTATGATTTAAATCTGTTTTTATTTAATTATTAGTGATTTAGAGTGTTCTATATATATTTATTATATGTGATCTTATGTCGTTTTGGCCTCAGAATGTGTTCCACTGACTCTGACCAGGAGAAGGATTGGGTAGTGAAGGTGACCTTTGTGAAGTGACCTTACAATATCAAAATCCAAATTAATAAATAAATAATTGAACAAATAACCTATTAATTAAATAACTGATAAATCAAATCAAACTATTAAATTAAACATGAAATCAAAACCTGGAACACAGGAAATTTGAGAAAAATATATTAGCCCAAAAATCAAACTAAATAACTCAAGATGAGTCTAACTCTACGTAATTAATAAATAATTATTCAACAAAATTATTTAATTTAAAACTAAATAAGTGTTGACCATGTTGAGTGGTGGAAATGGTTGACCCTAGGATGTTTGCCTTGACCTTGGTCAAACTCAGGGTGACTATCTGAAACCACTCAGCAAGATCCTGTATACATATCACCAGCACCTTAATCATCTAAATAAGAACTGTTAAACAGCTAAAAATTTAAAAAATGAATTCAATATTGAAAATTTAACCGTAGAAAATCTACGACCACATGAAACTAATGAAAGAATCAGGACAAATATATTTAATAACTGTAATTTAATGATTCAATTATTCAATTTATTTATGCTCTTTTTGTAAACTTAAAGCGGTGGAATGTACCGCTATGGGTGTTTGTTTTTTGTAAAAACACCAGATGGATTAGCTCTACGATTGATCTTTTCCGCCTCGACCCTCTGTCGGGCAAAACTGTAATAAGTTTGCTTTTGCTTTAATAAACTGCAACTTTCCGTTTTTGTTTCAAAAAATTTCTCTTGCTTTTGTTTTTCAAGTCTATTTTTTTTCCTTCACTCATTATGTTTCTTGTTTTGTTTTTGTTTGTTAATCAAATTGTTAACTGTAAACAATCAAACCCTTAAATTGAGGTTACACCGAGTTTAACAACAAGCCAATTGAACTGTCAAATTTATTACAAATCAACATCTTATTGTATTGAATAATTTAACAAAATTGCTGTCTCTTTCTCTATTGGATTTTGCTGTTGGCTTTTTACTTTTTAGGCTGTTAATTTTACTGTATTAAGTGATGATTGACATTTCTCATAATTAACTGCAACTTCTCAAAGGAAGGTAAATCATTTTATGAAATAAACTACTGTGATTAACATAGCTGATGATTACATGGTGATTGGTGTTGGTTAGTTTCATTATTATCATCGTTTTAACTGTTTGGTTACAAGAAAAAAAGCCTTAATTTACACTTTTGTGGTAAAAGCAAAACAAGGCTGTTGGTGAACTCAATCAAATGAAGTGCCAAAAAGAAGATGAGAAATTAACTATCTTATGATAAATAATCAGTCGATTGGAATGCGGTCACCAGTAACCGGAATAATCTTTATGTAACCGGATTGAGTTTAAATAGGATTAACAGTATTTTTGGGTTGCATAAAGCTGATTAACATTGGTGACTTGTTGTCATCATTATGATTATCATAACCGTCATCAAGATATTCGGCAACATTTAAAGATTCTTGGTGTTAGTGTATCAAAAATTTCATAATACTTAACATCTTGGTTTTCATCAGACACTTATGGCAATATGACCTTAAGATTAGCTGTGGTTAACTGGATGGTCAGTCTGATTTAAAGTAAACTTTTCTCAATCAATCTAACAGCTGATATTGATCGTGAAAATTTAGTTTCCTGATTTTTATCCACATTGCTATCACTTGAATCAAGTTTGGCTTCATCATTTTGCTTATGGTTTTACCTTTAAAAATGGAATCAAGAATTCAAGTCAAATGGAGAGCAAATTACGGCAATTAATCAAAACCATGATGTTGATTCAATGAGTGGAGACTTAATCAACACCTAACACTACTGAAAGTATGGTTTCATTTTGTTTGATCTATTGTGTTGGTCAGATCTTTAATGATTAACCAAAAGCCATTAGTTTACTTTGTTTTTTAGTTATCATGTTAACCAACATCTCATACCATTGATTTGCCATCAATAACGTTAATAGTTATTGATGATATAAATGATGATATGTTATTGAGTTGAGAACAGCTAAATTTCTGATCGAAACAACCAAATTAAATGTTAATGTTTATCTTTTGATCAATATGTTTGGTATCATTTATTTCATGATTGATCATCTATTTAATCAAAACCATATTTGGTTCAAGAACAAAAACAAAACCCAAGATGTTTGATTTATAAACTCAAAGCTCATGAAATCTTGAAATCAAACAAGACCCTTTTGGTCAAATTTTAACCCTTATAACGTTATTACTACTGACTCATTGTAAAAATCATTAACTGATTCAGTTGATTCAACGTCTATTCTCATGTTTTCATCCATTGAATGTGAAAAGCGAGGGAAAAGCAACCATTTTCAAAACCAGTTTTCTTGAAGCTTGATTCAACTTTATCTTCCGATGACAATTTGCATAAAAATTAATTTCTTTTTTTCTTTTCTATTTAATTTAATTAGATGAGTTAATCCTTGGACAATCACAGCGAGGTCCATACTATGGTACTTATATTGGCAAATTAGACACAACTTTACACAATGTGGCCGGAGATGTATTCTCGGTGGATGAGAATACAATTTTTATTAAAGGCTTCAGTTATGATGGATCAGCTCCTGATGCTTATTTTTGGGCAGGAACCACAACTAACCCTGATGTCACTGGTTTCATTGTGCCTGATGAGAAAGGATCGTAAGTTAATTAGATTGATTAAAGTTTGTTGTTTACAAATGAAAGTCATCTTGAAAAGTGAAAACAAAATGTTAAAGCTCAGATAATGTATCTTTAACAAGACCTTTTGTTTTAATTGTTTTTTGATACAACTCATTATCAATTAGCTTTTCACTAATTAATCTATTGACTTAAGAAAGCTTTAATCAAATTAACATGTATATTGTTTGTAGCTTTATGCCGGGTTAAACAAACCCGAAACGTTTCATGTTCACAGTTTAGATGTGATTTTATTAATAGCTTTTTTGTTGTGTTTAATTTAAAATTGCAATGATGAAATAATTAGAAATGAGTATTGAATAAACATTAAAATTAGCGATGAATCAATTCATTATGAACATTTCGCTTGCGTTATGCTTTATTAGTGTATGTTATTGGGTGAAAAGCACCATACTTTACATAAAAAGATCATCAAAAGGCTCAAAAAATTAGGCAAGAAACAAATGATTTGTTAGTTAATTTGTTTTTACTTTATTTGATGATCAACTTAACAATCTTTTTGCTTTAGATAATTCAAAACTTAACATTCGTTATAATTTAAACTCAGGCCTCACCTTAATTAAATTGCAATTTTGGTAGTCATAAAAAAACAACTGAATAGGTATTAGATAATCAAACAAAAAAGTTGTTAATATTGTTGAGGCTAATGAGGGTTATAGTATAAATTATAACCATTACAATGTTATTAATAGCAACAACAACCAAGACAATATTGAACATTATGAAATAAGAGGTAAACAGCGAGTAAAACACGATATTTAATAATAAGAGACTATAAATGACCGTTAATGAACCTACCGTTACTGATATTTTTGTTTTTGCATTTTCTTTCTTTCCTAACCAGAACCAAACCTCTTGGTGCTTATACCAAAAAAGATATTGTGCTGCGTCTTCCGGAGGGCAAAACATTCCGTGATATCAAATGGTTTTCAGTTTGGTGTCGTAAATTTAAAGCCAATTTTGGACACATCAATATACCCCGTAATTTGATTATACCTACACCTGTTGAGATAAGGCCATTGTCCCAATTGGAGCATGGTGTTAAATCTGGTCCCATAACCATTGTCGATGCTCAAACTTTTCTCATCAATGACTTCCATTATGATGGACAAGGTCCTGCTGGTTATTGGTGGGTCACTCCTGGTCCAAGGCAAAGTTCAACAGGTTTAAGGTTGAAAGATGAAAATGGTTCAGATAAACCATTGAGAAAATATTCCGGAGAAACTGTTGTCATCTCGTTACCTGAGGGTAAAACAATCTGGGATTATGATTGGGTTGGTGTTTGGTGTGAAGAGTATCAAGTTGATTTTGGTAACACTCGGATACCACAAAACATTAGGGTTCCTCCATCGCCCAAAATGCTTGGAGTTAAACCCGAGGTAAGTCAACAATCATTAAATAATACAACAATAGTTTCCATTGAAAAATAAATGCTTTACTGTTATCTCGATCTGTTCACTCAATCATCAGTAGAGCCTTGAAAAACGACTACATTTATGTTTAAATTTGATTCTCATCAAATGTAAATTGTCTGAATTAGAGATCTGTATCATCTTATTGGTACAATTAACAGGATTTAAAGTGTTCTTTTTCAATTGATACTTTTGTTTGGAAATATTACCTGAATGTGTTTACTCAGCTTTTACTTGTTTTTGTTTGTTAATTGTTCCATTTCTTCATCTATTCCCATACAGAGTAAATTAAACTGTGAAGTCCTCTATGATCAACTTGGTTTTGAGTTACGCTGGGTAATGGATGGTGATGATATTGTCATGCAACTTGTCGGTAAAATAGGTAAATCAAATGATTTTAAATTACTAAATAGTTGAAATGATTATTCTTCAAAAAAAACGATATTCTTTTTGTTTTCTCTGAAACCTTTTTTCACCTCTTTTTTTGCGCTCACCTTTCTTCTTATATAATCATGTTTCTTGTTACAACACGCTCTAAATAACATTATTCGACCCTGATCCTGACCCTGATTTTGACCCTGAACGGACCATGAAATTCATGGATTGGTTAAATTCAAGAATTTCATTCAATACCTTCCTTTAGTTTTCCTCTTTCAAATATAAATATTCATATTACGTTAAAAATTGCATCTATCATTAGCTTATTGTGAAAATGTGTTGGATTCAACACAAGTATTATATCTTCCTTTGAACACCTCAACTAATACATTTTTAATTTGTTGTAAATACATTAAATATTAAATGTTATTCAATTTTAATTTAAAACAGAACCAAATGAATATATGGCCTTTGGACTATCTAAGGATGACTCTAAATCAAACATGGTCGGAGCTGATGCTGTTGTTACCTGGTATGGTCCCAATGGGAAAGGTCACGCTGTTGATTATTATCTTGGCAGTAAAGAACAGGTAATTTTATTATTATCAATTATCTGATTAAATTTCATCGTTGTTATTATTTCAAGCATCATGAAATAACCTAATTAGAATTAAGATAGTTTTCAAATTGATCTTTGCTTCACGGATCAACTACTTTAATGTTAACAAGAGTCCAACGGGAGTTGCAAAAATTGAGAAATTAAAACTTCTTCTGATGAACCTTTTTTTATCAACCAATTTATCTTCATTGATTTGATTTTGATCTTTTTTCTCTAAAACTCAAATTCCATTAAAATATTCTAATAACAATAAGTAACGATACAATTTGTGCTAACATTTATAGCATACAAATTGAAATGGTTCATTTCATGTTTAACTTGATAACTGGTTTCAAATGTTTGTCTTTTCATTTTGTCATTGAAAATTATTGGTTTGAAATGTTTATTAATACGATTTCTGTATTTTAATTAGTGCGTTGGAACAACTGGAAGCTGTCCTGATTTGAAATATTCTGGTGCCTCAGATAGTATAACTCTTCTTCATGCAGCCCTGGTTAATGGATTCACTTTGGTTACATTTAAACGACCACAATTAGGAGGTGAGCATAATTTATTTGTATTGATTGACACTCGATAGTTTAACTATTTAACCTTGATACATCAAAGTGTGTAATTTTTTTCTAATTTTGGTTAACAATTTGAAAATTTTTCTTTCCGATTCTTCTTTATTTGAGTCTATTGAAGCGATAAATGGAATTATCAATTGCATTTTTCAAGCTTTTTTCAAAAATACTTCATCACCAAGATTAACAGCGTTTACACATTCAATTCAATCAATGTGTTATCGAAGGCTTACTGGCCTCGAATATCTAGGATATCACCAATTTAAGATTTCTTGATTTTTCAAATATCTTTATTAATTATTGGAAAAATATTAGCTTTAGATATTTCATTTTGAATAGTATTTTAAATGAAATGCTAGCATGAACCGTAATCATTATTAAATTTTTGAATTGGATGATGAATTAATACAATAAACACAATTTTTTGTTCTTTTTTCAATTTTACTTGAACAGTCGATGATAGATTTGATCAACATGTTTACAGTGATGGCAATCAAGCAGTTATCTGGGCTATTGGTCCGCTAAATGATCGAGATGAAGTATCTTACCATAGATTGAGATCACGAGGAAATGTTTTCATTGATTTCGCACGAACACCAAAATGGAATTGTCCAAATTCAGAAGCATCATCACCTTCCACTTCTCCTTCATCATCGGGTTCTCCAGCATCATCATCACTTCCATCTACACCTTCTCCATCTTCAAGAGGCTCTCCACAAAACAATGCACCATCAGCTTATCCTCCTCGATCACCTAAACCTCAGTCAACATCAACATCAGCAGCCTGGGAAATTCCTCCCGTTATTTGTCCCTCTGATTACACATTTCGAGCCCAAATTGGACCAGTTGGAGGTAAGAAAGGTTATCAAGGAATAACTGGTAAAGTTGGATGGGGAATTGCCTGGTACATCAATGGATTGATTATTCCAGAATTAACTGTTGAACGTGGTAAAACATATACATTCATTGTTGAAGGTGGTAATGACAAAACTCACTCTTCTCGTCGTCACCCTCTTTACATAACTGACTCTCCTGAAGGAGGTTTTGACCATAAAACAGAAGAAGAACGTAGAAGAGAGCGAATTTTTGCTGGAGTCGGTATAACCAAGCGAAATGAATTGGTTCCAACAGCTGAAGGGCGATACTGTGAATGGAAAATTGATACACGAACTCAAGAACAACCAGATAGTTTCAAAGATTTCTTTGATTTCCAACGAACATTATCATTACAATGTTCCTCGGGTGAACCAGGAATCTTGAGATGGAAACCAGACGCAAACACACCCGATACAGTTTACTATCAATGTTACACTCATCGTTATCTTGGTTGGAAAATACGAGTTGTTGATTCATGTGATCAATTGGCATCAGCATCGATAACACACATTTACCAAACATTGGCAGATAATTCAACTCGAATAGCATCTCCACAAAGTTTAGATCTTGCACCTCGTCGTAAATCAGAAAAAAGACAGCGTAAAGCTGGATCTAATAACAGAGGACGAGGCGCGTCTTTGTCTCCATCCAACAGAAATAATGTTAATAGTGTTACCAAAAATAACTCAACAAGATTACCAGCAAAACAATCTTCCGATTCGAATGAGATGAGATTCAGAGAAAGAAAGCCCGTTCTTGGTTACACAAGTCCATATTCACCATTTCCTCGTTTTGTAACTCCTTCAATGCCAGTTTTGTATTCCTCGGTAACACCAAACCTTCCTTATATCCCAATTGGACCTATTAGACCTTTAGATATGCACATTGGCCCAGTCGCGCCACCTCCACCTCCACCCTTTAATCCAATGCCAATGAAGCGAAACCCAATTTATGTAAGACAAAGACTTCCACCTCCAATCCCGCCTACACCTTCGCGTTCACTTGTACCAAAATCAACTCATAAATTGCCATCTGGTACTATGGGCAGAAGAAAGTCAACAACCGCTGTACCAATGCGATCAACTACGATACCGGCATCAGTTTCACCCACAACAAAGCCAATGACAACAGTTCCAATGATACCTTCAACTAAACCATCAACTACACCTAAACCCAATTTACCGACTACAACAACAACAACAACTAAGCATCCAACTTCACCCGTTGCCGTTGAAACTGCTGAACTTGCTGACAATCTTCATGGTGGTTTCCTTCCAGTCTTGATCAACTCCAAGGGTCCAACTACAATTACAACTTTGCCACCAAAAACAACAGTCAGGGAACCAGCTCAGACAACAGCTAAAGATATTTATCCTTTGTTTAATAGTAATCTAGATTTGAAACGTAATCCAAATACTGGATTACCGTCAACTAAGCTACCTTATTATTTAACTACCTTGGCCGCCATGAATTCAACATTTAGTCCAAACGAGCTGAATAATTTGGGTTACAGACCAACAAATGATCAAGATAAATGGGAAAATATCTTGCTACCAACAAACACTGCCATCGACAGCTCTGGCGAATCAGATTCAACTAAAATTGACTCAAAAGAATCATCTTTACTTGATCAAGTAATCTATAAAATGATTAACCAATCTCTCGGACTGAGTAATGTTTACCCTCTGGCTACAAAAGATTCATCAGAAGAAAACAATAATGAGGACAAAAAGGTCGACTCTATGACTTCCTCAGAAGTTTTTGATCCATCATCAATATTGGCATCGTCAACATTGAACAACAATTTACCATCATCATCATCAATACCATCTTCATCATCGATCCATTCCCAAGCAAGTCCAGAAATAATTGAGAAAGGATTAACCGGAATACCATTTAGTTCAAAACCGATCATATTACCAACATCAACGGTGCCAATAAACCTTTTCAGCAGCCCAATAATCACTAGTCACCCGATTATGGATTACCAATTTTTCCCATCATTTTACTCAACCCACTATGGCTTAGGACCTGTATCATCATCTTCCTCCTCATCACCACCGCATTCGTCTTTAACTTCATTGATGTCACCTTCATTATCATCTTCAATTAATCCATCAGATTTATCCTCTAGTCATTTACCTTACACCGAAACAGTTAAACAAACAACAAGTATTAATAATAACTACGGTGAATCAATGGAAACATCAACAGTTTCAATAGACGAATCTAGCAATTCTGATCCATTTGATTTCTTTGGATCTGACGGCATGAGTTTATCTTCGTCTTCATCTTCATCATCTTCATCCAACAGTACTGATGATGCTATTTTATCACACATTATGTCTTTAATTGCTGATAATGCAGCTCCTCCAGAAGTTAAAATTGTTTCTAAATCAGATGGAACCGTATCATCGACTCACGTTGAAGTGCACCACAATTTAAGCAAGAGATCCGCCCATCATCACCATAATCACGATGATGGTTTCGATCATGATGATGTGCACAAGCCATCATCATCTTCTACATCATCCATTTTATCTTCAGCTTCAATTTCTTCGGGGAACAAGGTTTTCAATAATTGGTCATTGGTGGTAAATTTATTTGTAACTCTGTTAACATTAACACTATTTTCAAACTAATTTTTTGTAATCAGATTATATATTTTTTTACTATACATGATTTAATAAACAAAAATTGAAAAATTCTCATTAAATTTTATACATACAATTAAAAACGACTTGAGCAAAATTAAATCCTAATCAGATTCAAATACCATATTTAGCCATATTTCTGACCTTTGCGCTATCTTAAATTTCTTTTCATGAATTAAAATTCGAGAACAAACAATTGATCATTTTTCATAAAAAAATATTATTTTTCAATTCAATTACTGATTTTTCTGACAAATCTGAGGAATTGAAATATGTCACAAAGTGGAAATGTATTTCCTTTGGCTTTATGCCTCCAAAATTTGTCATTTTTTATGATTTAAATTGCTTCAGGCTTAAATAAACCACAAACTAGTAAGCTATTTATTAATATAAATATAAATATGAAAATTTATTTTCTAGTGAGCTATTTATAAACAAATTTTGTTATCAATTCAATATCAATATATGGTAGCACAAAAACTGACAAAACAGGAGTATAAAATTGATTCTTTTTAAATTTATCTAAATTTCAATTATTAGGAAGATTGAAGCCAGCTGGATATAGTTTTGATGTTCCAGGTCGATCTTCAGCCATATCAGTTACCTATGGTAAGACAACAAATAAAACAAATTCAAGATTAGACTTAAACCATTCAGATAGGAGCAAAGCAAACCAAGTACTTACCACAGACCAATCAATAAATTTCCCACTATCGGTGTGTTTTGGGCGGTTCGTATTGATCCGAGGAAGTCTATTTATTTTTTCCTCATACGTCAAGTCATCATGCCTGATTGGTCGATTAAGAGGCAAGTCCTTTTTACGGATTAAACGATGACTAATTTTAATTGCACAAGAATTATTATCCTTAATATTACCATGGGGATATTGGGCAACGTTTTTAAGTGGAGATGTCTCAGGACTTTGAGATAATGAAGATGAGGTGGAAGTTGGAGAGTTTGGTTGAGATGCCTCATCGCTTGAGATAGCTGAGTCGTTTTTAGCTCCGTTCTGTTCCCATTGTTTCCTAGATGAAGCACCAGAATAGGCTTTTGGCAATTTTTCAGTTAGAGTCTCTAGTTGACACTGAAGACCGACTGATTTAGTTTTTCTAGAAAAAACTTTGTTGTAAAATTTGAACTTCTCACTCAGAATATCTGAGATAACTGGGATGCTGTCAAAATTCATTCCTTCAACGTCAACCATCTCACCTTGAGTTAAGTAGTATGGAGAGAAACATTTCATCGACCTGAGAGCAGTGTATTCTTGTGGTGAAATGTATTTTACATTATTTAAGTAATGATACTGCTTCATTAGCGTTGGGAAGAATAAGTGCTTCAACATTTCAGTGCGAAGCTCATTGAAAAGCATCACCAATGAACGAGCATAACTGGATCCAGTTTCATCAAGGGGTTTTGATAACAGTTTACCTTTACCACAAACTTCATAAAAGTTTTCTTTGTCAGACCAAGGTAAATCAATTTGTAGGTACTCTGCAATACACTTGTCGTAAGGTTTGATTTCTTCTTTTCTCCTTCCGTATTTGCCGGGGTTTCGCATGCCCAACTCGCAATCCCAAACCAATGTATCATCTACATTGTTCAAATCAACCTTATATAGTTTATAAAGCCGGGCAGCAGTCACACTACAGTTGTACATCACTTTACAAGTATCCTCTGATTCCAAGACTTCTTTTACTTTGTTCATCATACCAGGAATAATGGGAAATACAAAGGTTCCTTTATCACAGCCAAAAATAGCGAAATCAATAGTAGTATCTCTTTCATTACTCCAGGGTAAACAAGTGAAGCCAACCTTACAACTCGACTTAAGAGTGGAAATGGCCTCTGGTAGTTTAGGATCACTCACTGAATCGAATCTGACAACGGCGTTACATGAAACTTCAAAAATTTCTGGGTCTAAAACAAAATCAAACTCTATTGATTCAAATTCAATTTCTGCTGAAGGCGGCACATCCAAAGTTACAGGCTTCACTACATCAGCTTCAAAATCATCCTCATTTTCAAGTTGCTCAAATGTTTCAGGCTTTTCCTCCAATTTGGCAAGTAGAGATCTTTCAGCTGCATGAACTTTAAAATCATCAATATCAACTGAGACATTCTGTGTGAGACAGATAAATTTTCCCTGGAAATCACGATAACTGTAATTTTGTGTGAGATAACAAGGTGTGCCATCATCTTTTTTAACTGTATCACGAAAGAGCGAGAAAGAGAGAGAGAG